CTACGTTCCACATGCAGGGGAAACGCCAAGCACCTTTGGATGAAGGGCTTGTGATTGGAATAGATGCCATTCCAAGAACCACGCTCTTCTCCTGCTGTCCCATTCCGGTCTTTTCTTTCACAGTCAATGAGTGAGCGCTGCACCTCCCGTTGCCCCTCCCAGGTTCAACATTACCAGGGACGGCCGGGCGTTTGAGTTCAATCTAACATACGTGGCACAGATGGGGGCGGTGCAGGAGGTGCTGCCAGCGTGGATGTTCAACACCAGCCTCCTGGGAGACGATGTGCTGAGCCGCCCGGACACTCCCTTCCGACTCGTTGCCTTTGGCGCCTCCCTGCACGATCTCACCACACTCAACTCCACACTGGACTACCGACGAACCGCAAGTGCGTGGTGGAAGAATGGTTTTCTTCCTTCCTTCTCTCTTTCTTTCTTTCTTTCTTTCTTTCTTTCTTTCTTTCTTTCTTTCTTTCTTTCTTTCTTTCTTTCTTCCTTTCTTTCTTTCTTCCTTTCTTTCTTCCTTCCTTTCTTTCTTTCTTTCTTCCTTCCTTTCTTGAATAATCTGCTGTGCCTGCACTCTACCAGCGCACATGCGTTCAGAGCATCTCCATTCCTCACCTGTTTCATGTTGTGGTGTTCTCATCCGTGTTCTAATCGTGCTACTGCACTCCCTCCTTGCTCCACAGCCGTACATCCGCTCCCAGCCTCGCACCTGCTGCTCTCTCGTGTGTGCGTGCGTGCTGCCCGACGCCTCTTCCTCTCCTTGCCCTCTCATGTGCTCTGTGCTGTGCGCCCCATGATCCTCTCCTTGCCCTCTCATGTGCTCTGTGCTGTGCGCCCCATGATCCTCTCCTTGCCCTCTCATGTGCTCTGTGCTGTGCGCCCCATGATCCTCTCCTTGCCCTCTCATGTGCTCTGTGCTGTGCGCCCCATGATCCTCTCCTTGCCCTCTCATGTGCTCTGTGCTGTGCGCCCCATGATCCTCTCCTTGCCCTCTCATGTGCTCTGTGCTGTGCGCCCCATGATCCTCTCCTTGCCCTCTCATGTGCTCTGTGCTGTGCGCCCCATGATCCTCTCCTTGCCCTCTCATGTGCTCTGTGCTGTGCGCCCCATGATCCTCTCCTTGCCCTCTCATGTGCTCTGTGCTGTGCGCCCCATGATCCTCTCCTTGCCCTCTCATGTGCTCTGTGCTGTGCGCCCCATGATCCTCTCCTTGCCCTCTCATGTGCTCTGTGCTGTGCGCCCCATGATCCTCTCCTTGCCCTCTCATGTGCTCTGTGCTGTGCGCCCCATGATCCTCTCCTTGCCCTCTCAGCCTCGCACCTGCTGCCCAGCCTGCGCCGTCGCTTGCAGGACGCGCGGCAGGTGACCTTCTTTGGTCCGTGGGCAGCCAGAGAGGACATCAAGCCGCGCTGGGTGATCAACAAAAGCAACAACGTGCGCGGCATAGCCTTCGAGGAGGAAGCTTCCAGGTCGGTGGCACTTCAGGGAAAGTTTTCGTAAGTTTTCAGGTGGGTGGGAGACTTTCAATTTGCAGTATTGGCTGAAGAACTGGGTGCCACTTCAGTTCAGAGAAATTCTCAGGTGGGTGTCGCTTCAGGAGGAAGCTTCCAGGTAGGTGGCGCATCAGAAAGAAGCTTTTTAAGTTGGTGGTGCTTTAGCGGCATTTCACTCACCTCATGTCAGACTCTCATCACTCCAAACTGAACCGCGTTGAACCACATTCAGGCATCTAAACCACACCATTGCAAACAATTCCAGCAGCAAGTGACTGAACATGATTTACGGGCAGAGTAAAGATTGACAAGGTGGTAATCATGCTGGATTCGTGCTTAAAAAAGAAAAGAAAATATAAATCAAACAAACAAACAAATCACTTCCAATCGATTACAACACATTGCTCTGTAACACAATGTAATATTTCATTCTGAATTCATTGATCATGTGAGGTGGTAAAATATTAGGTCTTTTCATTTGACAGAATTTTCAACCCAATTCCTTGCTTCCTGCTGTGTTTTTCCATGTCAGGCTACTGCCGCTCCAAGGATATGAGAGGTTTGTTCCAATGACCTCGGTAACGCTTTCTCGTCCTGACTTGTCGCCTGATAGCACGCATTACTCGTGGATAGTTACCCTCGCCATGCTGGATATCTGGTTCACCACCGCTTGCTTAGAAACATGATGATTTCCGTCAAAGCCCCCAAGTATACAGCCCCAGGGACACTGATACTAAACGCGCTGGGAATATCATATACACACAAATGTGCGTGTTTCATTATTGAACATATTAGGGAAGATTAACCACGGTATGCACAGCTCGCCTGCGACAGTGGCGACAGGTCTAGTTGGGGTGTTCGCCTGCGACTGTGGCGACGACACGAGGTGAGGGAAAGGTTGACATTGCCGCCATGCACGCTGGGCCAGCATCAGGCAAAAATACTAAGGGCGCGCTGCACTTCTATTTAATAATTCGAAAATTCTTTGGAGCGGGTTTTGGGCGAACTTGCCCGCGTTTCAGTGTTTTCGAACTTGAACATGCAAAAACACAGAATATCGGCACCCTTTGTCAGGTGCACCAAGACTGGTTTTTTGGGGAACCCGAACTCCTACCAACCGTGCGACCAAAATGAGGTCGCACGTACACTGTAGACGTCGTCTAGCCAATCAAATAATTTCGTTTAGATATCGTATTTATTCTGTTACCGTCGCTAGGTTTTCGTTGATTTCGCAACTAGAGTTCACCTTTTGGGGTGGTGCAATTCTCTGTTAAGTTCGAGCATTTGACGGGGAATTCTGCAGTATCGTTTGCCCGCGTTTGGGGCGCTATGGGGTTCAAGTTCGCATGCAAAACACGAGCGTGGTGCACTTCTCGAACAGTATCACTGTTCAGTCAAGACAAAATTCAGTTGCGTAAACGCCAAACGCACAGTAACCCGAACTTCACCAAAAAATCGGATTTAGATCGATCTTCTTCAGCATTTTCGAATTAAAAAATAGAAGTGCAGCGCGCCCTAAAATCACATTCGCTCAAATATGACCCATTCGTGACATTGAGTTCGCCGCAGTACAGTATATCCGCATTCCGGCATGAGACAATCGTTACAGGCATCTGCGCGGGTGAGCTGCCTCCTCCCCTTCCCCTGCCAGCAGCAAGCGAGACAGAGCCACAAAGCGTGTGATGCGATGACGCCGTGCATGAGAGCCGCGGGGCGCGGTGACGCAAAGAGCTGCATGCGACTGCCTTGTTCGCCCTGCAGCCTGCTAGGTCCAAAACGGACGGAATCTTGCGGAACAAGGAACTACCCAATCAACTCTACACTTCCTTATGAGCTCGGCTTCAGTCTGCCTTTACTAAAAAGGTCTAAAGCTGACGTCGACCGTACTCGGGTACGACTTCTTAAGGTTATTCTCCTGACAACCGAAGTAGCCGCTTTATCTGTTTATTTCAAGGCTTCTGATACGTCCCCGACATATCTTATACTCCTGACCTCAACTTGCCTGTTTATTCCCTGACCAGTCTGTTGTTCACACCTCATATTCCCCTGCACCGCAACCTCACTCTCGTATTCAACAACGATGCTCGCTTCCGTGTTCGCTCGCCACTCTCTCGGCAACTCGTGCGCGTGGCGACGCCCCGTGGCGGGAGCTCTTCGCTTCCAACATTCCATGCTAGCTTCCAGTAGCGGGCCTGATGCGTTGCGACACGCGAACGAGAATACCAGGGTCGATGCGGCGCGCGGAACGAGCCCCCGTTTGTATCACAAGAACGTGGTGGATCATTACAATCACCCGCGCAACGTGGGCGCGTTCGACAAGCGCGATCCAGATGTCGGCACGGGATTGGTGGGCGCGCCGGCGTGTGGCGACGTGATGAAGCTGCAGATTAAGGTGGACGCGGAGGGGAAGATCGTCGACTCGTGCTTTAAGACCTTCGGATGCGGCTCCGCTATCGCGTCGTCCTCCCTAGGTATTTAAGCACGGCTTTTCTCTCCGGTAACTGAGTAAAAAAAAAAAAAACACTGTGGCGAGGCGTTTCCACCGATGGTAGCCCTTTCAGCCAGCATCGTCCTGCTCTTTGGCATTTCCTTTCTCATCCTCCGTGTGGCTGTAATGAGGGCATGCGATGAGTAAGGTTTGTGGTGAGGGCTTGTGAAAAGGGCGTCTGATGAAGGCATAGGGAGGCGTCTAAGGTGCTAGTAGCTGCTGTTGTGCGCATGACAATTGCAGGCATAGCAAGGTTCTTCATGGTTTGTCTGCTTGCCCTTCACCCACTCCGTGAGCTCATTGTTTGATTCTTTCCGCCTCCTTACCTGGCAGCCACGGAGTGGGTGAAGGGCAAGCATGTCGACTCGGTGCTCGAGATCACCAACAGGTATATCTGTCCTCTCTCTCCGCTCCCTGCCTTGTTCTCCGGGCACGTTGGCTCTTTGGGGAGTGCCAGAGGGCGGACTATGGTTTGCACCTACTGTCTCGGTTGAGTGGATAGCTTCATGTGTTGACCGCATTTGCTGGGATGCTAACAGAGAGACAGTGTTGTCCGTTTTGGCACCCCTCCACTCTCTAACCATTCAGCCGTCTCACAAGCCATGCGTTTTCTTGTTCCCCTGCAGGGACATTGCGAGGCATCTGTCGCTGCCTCCTGTGAAGCTGCACTGCAGCATGCTGGCTGAAGATGCCATCAAGGCAGCCGTGCATGACATTAAAGTGAAGCGACAGCAGCAGTAGAGGCAGTGTGAACAGGAGGAGTAAGGGGCATTTGAAGTTTGTGGCACCTGCTGCTGCCTCCTGCCGCCTGTGAAGCTGCACTGGAGCATGCTGGCTGAAGATGCAATCGTGACAGCTGCGAACGATATCAAGGTGAAGAGACAGCAGGAGCAGAAGCAGTGAGGAAGCATTACAACTCATGAAGCAGCAGTGAAGGCGGTTGAGGCAGTGACGGATGGAACCAACTAGGCAGTAATGCTGTGGACGTGCTAGCAGTCGCGAGCTGCATTCTGCTCATTGTAGGTTTCAATAATATCTAGCAAAGCTCAGTTGGTTTCTAACAATACTGCTGTACAGGGTGTATATTTTGTACATAGTGAGTGGAAGCTTCGAAGAAACAACGCCCTGCTGCAAGTAAGCCTTGCAAAACAGATGGTTTGTGCAACGAAGTACCGGTACTGTAGCTGTAATGAACATGGTGGATCTCGCCCAGGAAACGGATGCTGTGGAAAGGGTTGCAGAGTGGTGGTACCTTTGATTGCAGAGGTCATTTGCTTGAGAAAGAACTCACTAAAGTAGCACGGCCATGATTATACATACCGTCATCTCGTACACTAGAAAAAATGCTTGGTTTATCTTGTATTTGGGGAGGTTTTGGGTGTCTTACTAGTCTTATACATGGACAAAAAACCGTTTAGAAGATACCCCCTCGTTATACAATTGCCTCTAACCCTTACACTGGCTTAGCTTGTACACACAAATAGGTGTCTTATAATGGGGCTAGCCTGTTTATAAGAGACACCCGGATAATAGACAACCCCTGTCTACTATTCAACACTGTCTACTATCCGGGCGATGACGGTATGGCTAAAAACCAGAGACATCTGCTTTACCTAACCTAACAAGGGCAGAAACACCCGCCCATGCAAAACATCACCAGGAATTCGCTTCCTGGCTGCTCTCCATGCCACACGGCGAACCACTCTCACCACCCAACCTCCTCCTCTCTCTCCCCTTCTCACTGCGCCTCAACCTTCCCACCTCCCTCCCTCCCTTCACCCTCCCTGTCTTCACCCCATCCCCTCCACTCAACCTCCTCTTCCTCCTTCGCCGGTACGCACGCATCACATGCGGCAGGCCCCACGTTGCCACCACATCGCCCTCTATCTCGTCCGCTGGACTGTCCCCCTTCTCACTCCCCTGCCTCACAAGCCGTGACCTCTCCTCCCCTGCACCTTCCTCCCCTGCACCTTCCTCCTGCAGCACCCCCACAGCGCCCCCACCCTTGCCCGTTTCTGCACCCTCCTTCCCCTCCCTTTCCCCATCAACCCCATGGGGGTTCGCCGCAGACACCCTCCCAGCTGCATTGGAAGCTGGCAACAACTCCTCTTCATCAGCGTCGCCCTCATTCCCACCCCTCCCATCCTCATCCCCTTCACACGTCTCCTCATTCCCCGTATCCACATCCTCCATCCCCATACCACTGGATCCCTCAGAACCACCTCTCACCGCACCATCACAGCCCACATCACCATCACTGTCCCCCATTCTGCCATTCCCCATGTCCTCGCGCCGTTCCCTCCCTTCCATCCCACTCCCATCCCCATTCCCAATCCCACTCCCACCCACTGCACCCACGTCCACCGCGCTACCCTCAACTCTCACCGCAGCAACCACAGGCACAGCCCCAGCCCCATCCCTGCTCAGCCCAGACCTCCCATCATTCCCCCCCCTGCCGGACTCATCCCCTTCAGAAGCCTGCCCGCGCATCAGCTGCAGAGCAGGATTAGGTGTCTCTGATCCCTCTGGCATACCTTCAAAAGGCGGGGTTTCCGTCCCCACTCCACCTTCACATGTGACTCCCTTCTTCTCCCTCTGCCTCCCTTCCACGCCACCACCGTTACCATCAACACCCCTGCCATCATTACCGCCTCCTTCACCTCCCACGATGTCCCTAGCTGCTGCTGCAGCTGGAGAACTGTTCGCACAAGGTGCCCGCTCCTGCTCCTGCAAAGGTGAACCCGCTTGCTCCGGTTGCTGTTTCTGTTGCTGCTCCTGTTTCTGCTGCTGCTCCTGTGGTGGCATCACCCCCAGCTGCTGCTGCGCCGCCAGCACTTGTGACGCGGAGAGCAGCTGCGTGGGGGGGAGCTCCTGGGTCTGCAGCGCCCTCTGTGACTCTGCCTGTGACGGCTGCTGTGAGGGCTGCTGGGATGGCTGTGACGGCTGCTGTGAGGGGTGCTGGGACAGCTGCTGGGACGCACCAGGCACTTGTGACTGCGAATGTCGCTGGAAAGGGTTTGGGGTTTGTGAGGCACCACCAGTGGGCGGTGACAGCGACGGCCCTTGTGACTGGTACCGACTTTGTGAATGAAACTGCCCTGGTGACTGCTCTGGCCCTGGTGACTGTATTAGCCCTTGAGAGTGAACCTGCCCTTGTGACAGCAGTTGAGTCGCCACCTGTGTTTGTGTCTCTGTCTGCCCTGGCACCACAGCTTCCCTCTGCCCATGCGTTTCCCAACGACCCTGCGTTTCCGTGTGCCCTTGCGTCTCCGTTTCTGTCTCTGCTTCTAACCGCACTCCTAAGTGAGCACCAGCATCACCCTTCCCAGGGCTTATTCCCTTTCCCTTCCCCACAACCCCTGCCACCCCCTCCTCTTCTCCTTGCCCTGCTGCTCCGTCCCTCTCCAACCCCTCTTCACCCTCCGCACCCTCCCCTGTCTCCTCCTCGCCCCATGCCGTGAACCCCTCTTCCAGCACCCCTCCTCGTCCAGGTGACTCACAGGTCTCGTCCAGCATCCCTCCTGAGAATCCCTCCAGCAGCCCTCCTCGCCCCCCACTGTACTCCTGCGTCTCTGCCTCCATCAGCTCCTCCAGCCGCTCATCCAACGGCCCACCTTCTCTGTTCAGCTCATTGAATCGACCATCCAACGGTCCACCTTCTCTGTTCAACTCGTCAAACTGATCATCTAATGAACACTCCTCCGTCTCTCCTTTTCCTCCTTCCCCTTCCTCCCCGCCCTCGTCCCTCCCCCCATCACCCACTCGACCACCAAATCCCCTCCCATCTTCTTCTGTCTCCCTCATTCCCACTCGTCCCTCATCACCCCCGTCCCCTTCATCCCCCCTAAAGAGCTCCCGCCGTACAAGCAACAAGCCCTCCCTTTCCTCGACCCTCACATCTTCCCTGGCAGCCACACTCCCCTGTACCATACCACGTGCCTCAGCATCACCAGGAGGCACCTCACCATCTACAGGGCAAGTATCACCTCCCCCAACCCCTCCTCCTCCCACTCCTCCTCCCACCACTCCCTCTCCCACCTCGGCTTCTTGAGTCATTTCCTCATCCTCCTCCTCACCTCCCTCTTCTTTTCCCCCCGCCCCATCCAACCCCTCACTCCCCCTCCCCCCGGCCCTCGCCTTCCCCTCCCCTTCCCCATCTTGCAACACCTGAAACATGCGCGTCAGCTGCTGCTGCTGCTCCAGGTGCGCTCTCAGCATCTGCTGCTGCAGCTGCTGCTGTCGCTGCTGCTGCGCCTGCTGCTGCAACTGCGCGCGCACCACCTGCTGCTGCAGTTGCTGCTGCGACTGCCCTAAAGCTGTCTGCTCCTCGTGTGCCTGCTCCATCTGCTCCTGCAGACATGCAATGTGGTTCGCTGTTTTCTCGAATTCCCTCTTTTGAGCGTCCCTGCTAAACGCGCACAGGCAAAGCGGAAAGCAGGGAGGAGGGGAAGGGGGATGATGAGGGGGCGGTGGGTAAAGGAGAGCGAGGGGAGCCAAGCGGATACAGGCAGGTGAGTGGAGAACCAGAGGAGATAGGAGAAGAAGAGAACGTGGGCAAGGCAGCAACATTCATAAACCGCCGAAACCCTACACCCCATACTGTGCATCATACGTACCGCAGCATGATGCGCTCCCGTGCGCCCTGCAACCGCCTCTGCTCCACTGACAGCCGCATCTGCACCTTCCGAAGCTCCCCTGCCACGCCACAGGCTCGGGCCTCCGAAGCTGCCAGCAAGTTCTGGAAGAGGTTCGGAGAAAACAGCCACAGGAACACACAGAAATACATCCGGAAGAAGCTGAGAGTATGGCTGACTTGACATAAGGGGAGTGCATGGAGGGCAGTGGAAGGAAGGATGTGTAACTGTAATTCGTCACGCATTATCCAATAACGAAACCAAGCATGCACAACCGCACCTGCAGCTGAGCCGCTTCGGCCTCCTTCCCTGCAAGAGAAGCCCCCATGGCAGACGCTCGTTGCTGCAGCAGCACAGCTCGGCCCCTTTCCTCCTCCAGCAACCCCTCCGCCCTCCTCGCCCTCTCGTGTCCCGCCACCACTGCTGCCCGCTCGCCCTCCTGTCATGCAGCATGTGTACACACGGGACGCGCAGACGCCAGGGAGGAAGAGACGCGAGGCGAAGGGGAGAAGGCAAAAAGGCAGAGAGTACGGAGAGAGGTGGTGAGGGAGGACTAATGAGGGTAGCAAGAGCGTCATGGTGGGTTGAAGATGCAGTTTAGAACATCGCTACAACATAAAGATGAGGGAAGCAGCAGGAGTCTCACCAGCTTGGCAGAGAGCGAGTCAATGGCTGCCTGCCTCTCCTCGTTCATAGCCTGCAACGTCAAGGTGAAGGAGAACGAGAGAAAAGTGAGAAACAGCGCGAGATAGATGTGCACACACGGGCATTGACGTTGACAAAGAGAAGAGAGACACAAGCAGTGGCATCAGTATGGGCATGCCCAAGGCTGTAAGTAAACGAATTCCAGCAAGCCGGGTTGGTCGTGACACGGACCGTCATACCACTCACCACGAGAGCAGCAACCCTTTCTTGGAGCTCCTTCACCGCCCTCTGCGACCTCTCTGCAGCCGCTGCTGCCTCTGCTGCTGCGGCTGCCTGCACTCGCTCCACTGCTGCTTGCCTCTCCGCCTCCATCTCCCTCCTCTCCCTCCCCCTCTCCTCCGCCTCCCTCTCCCGCTCCCTCCATGCCCTCTCCACCTCCGCTTGCAGCCTGCACAGCAGATAAAAAAACAGCGCAAAGGACGTGGGGGAGAGGACATGAGACTACACAGGACAACTGGAATGACTGAATGTGGTACTATGGGAATTCCCAACTGCACACTCTTCACCCGACTCACCCTGCTTTCGCAGCTTCGGCCTCCGCCCGTGCCTTCCTCTCAACAGCCAATCGCTCGCCGACACCTGTCAGCTCCTCCTGCAGCCGCACCACCTCCCCCTCCGCCTGCTCCTGCTTCCTGGCTGCGGCGTCTCTCTCCCTCTGCGCCTCCTGCACTCGCCCCTCCCACTCCTGCTGCACCTCCATGCGTGCACTCACCACGCCCTGCCATGTGGATTGCAGGGTGGGTAGGGGCGACACAGAAACAACACTGAAAGTGGCTCCAGGAAAAGACGAGGTGTGAGGAGATAGTGCCCTGTGTCTGATAGTCCCTTGTGACTTAACCCACCCCATGCCCATATGCATCACTCCCTTGCTCCTGTGTCACACTCTCTGCACCACTGGGTGAGTGTGCCCATCCTAAACCCAACGCACACTCACCTCCTCATGCCGTCGCTCCTCCTGCTGCCGCTGACTCAGTATCTCGTCCATCCTCGCCGCCTCCGCGTCCAGCTGCTGCCGGAGCTCCTCATTGGCCCGCCGCAGCTGCTTCATCTCCTCCAGAATCGCCACGTCAGCAGCAGGCAGTGCCACCTCAGCAGGTGAACCTGCTGCAGCAGGAGCAGCACCCGGGACAGCAACAGGCGTGACTGGAGCGAGGGCAGCTCTGCCACTGCCTGGCACGGATGCCCCAGAACCTGCCCCAGAACCTGCCCCAGAACCTTCCCCAGCATCAGAAGAACTGTCAGGAGAAACCGAGCTCGGAACAGCACCCCTTGACCCTCGTCTCCGCTTCGGAACCCTACCCGCTGCCATCCCCCCCTCGTCTGGACCCACTGCTACGGCCTCTGCTCCCAACCCCGATCCTGGGAGCGGTGGGGGCGAGTGCATGGACAGTCGGCGCGCTGCTGCAGGGGAGGAGCGCGGGGGAGGGGGCAGCATCTGGCCTTTCACAGAGGGGGACGCCACGGGGGTTGTCGTGTGACTGGTACCTGCCCCACGTGCCATTGGGCTTGCATCTAACGCCATGGGGCACGGATTAGAGCTCAAGGCCTGAGCCTTCCGCTTCACCAGCACTGTTGCTGGGTCTGCTCCGGCTGCGCCCTCTCCTTGCTCCCTCTTCACACTCACGCCGCGCATGGCGCCACTGCCTTCTCCCTCCTTAACTGCCGCTGCGCGCCTGCCTGGAAATTTCCCTGCGGCAGCAGGGGAGTGCAGTCCCCTAGCAGCAGCAGCAGCAGCAGCAGCAGCAGCGCCATTCGCAGCAGCAGGAGAAGCAGATGGCATGGGTGCCCCTTCCACGCGCAAGAAGACAAACATGTGAGCGACCTCTGCACCGCATGGGGACAAGGTGAAGCACACACACAAGGACAATGTTATGGGCGCCTCAGCAGTCAGCACGTAGACGAAAAAAATCAGATGCAGATGGGCAAATGTGTGAGGGCGGAGGGGGTGATGACAGAGCGACCACATTACGCAGGATAAACGTCTGCATCAGCTGCTCCCACCACTGTATCTGCCGCCCACGCAACTGCATCTGCCGCCCACACACCTGTCTCTGGTGGCCCCACGAGCGACAGCACATCGCCATGCTTAAGCTGCTGGGGGGGTCCGTTCCTCTGCAGCCGAGTGCCATTAATGAACGTGCCGTTGGAGCTGGAAGGTGCGGCAGAGGGAAGGAGAGCACTAGGTGAGGGAGGGTGAGAAAGAGACTACTGATGCCTCAGCTGATGGGGGGGTCCGTTCCTCTGCAGCCGGGTTCCGTTGATAAGCGTGCTGTTGGAGCTGGAAGGCGAGGGAGGTGCGGGAGAGCAAAGGGGCGAGGGAGGTGCGGGAGAGCAACGGGGCGAGGGAGGTGCGGGAGAGCAACGGGGCGAGGGAGGTGCGGGAGAGCAACGGGGCGAGGGAGGTGCGGGAGAGCAACGGGGCGAGGGAGGTGCGGGAGAGCAACGGGGCGAGGGAAGGAGAGGACGTGAGTACTGATGTAGCCATGCGTGGACTCAACTCAACGTATGAGCAGCAGCAAACATACGGGAAAAAAGTCGTGACTGCAGGACAAGCGGCATGCAGCCAGTGAAGTCACACACCTCGTGTCCTTCACCACGACGACGAACGCCTCTCTGCTTTCTCCATCCCTCTCAGCTCCTGCTTCTGCCCTTCCTCCCGCAGTTTCCCCCGCTACTAACCCTCCTGCTTCTCCCCTTCCTACACCCACTCTCGCTCCTGCTGCTTCCTCCACCCCAGAAGCCGCTTCTCCCTGGGGGGGGGGGCATGCCCCGCCCGCCTGAGGAGGGGCAGAGGGTTCCCCAGCGGGAGCGGGAGGCTGGGGGAGGCAGGAGATGGTGCAGTGGCGCGCGGAGACGGAGGGGCTGGCGAACTGGAAGGGCGGAGGCACCTGGCGGCCCAGCAGCGTGTCGCGATTCACCAACGGGATGAGCGGGCCCTGCATGCGATGGTCCATGGAAGACCTAGAATTAGCCTGGGACGATGACAAGGTTACAGCTTTTTGGATTAAAACAACGGGCTGTTGTTATTGTAGGAGCAGTGCAGGTGAACGGGGAAGGCTGACGTGGCTTCCATGTGGTGGCTGGCGTACCTTAGGTCGCTGCTTCGCGTTTGCGTTAATTCCGTGGAGAATTCCCCACTGGCCACGTATGTAACACTTCGGCGACGATTTCGCCAGTTCTTTCGCGAGCTCGTACGGTGAGACCGGCGGCGAGGACGAGCACGACGGAACCCCCGCCGTTGGTGCTGCTGACGTGGCAGGCACCGCAGACCCTGGCGGTAGTTCCGGTTCATTCGCCATCCTCGCTAACAAGTGATCTAATATATGCCTACTACCTCGCGCTGGTCCGGCTATCAATCCTGGAATGCTTACGGGTGATGCTTCTATAACCGGCGTTCTGGGTTGTCGGGGAACGTTCGGGCGCGATGCTATTCTGCTGAAAGGACTTGATTCATGAGCGTCGACCAACTGGCGTGACTGATTCGGGAAGCTATCGTCCGATGCTGATGGAAAAGAAGAGGAAGCAAACGGACGACGATAAAAAATGGCCATGATTTACACTAGACAGGCGTTTTTGCTCTACTGCGTCGCGTGAAACAGTCCTGTGCCAAACTCGCACTCCTTTGAAATACATGGTAGGTCACTTTCAGAAATCCAAGAAAGAGGCGTCAACAAGCATGCGGAAATAGCGTCAAAGTGACGGAGAGCGAGAGGCTTCAGGGAGACGCTACACGAAGCACACGGAAGTGTGGCTTGCACTTCTGCTGATAGGTGAGAGATGTCAACAGCTGGGTGGGGAGAACTGCGATGACTTCAAGTTGCGGAGGAAATGCTAGTGGTTGCCCGTGAATCGCAGAGAGTGGCTGGTGTCAGGAGTCGTAACATTCATGAAGATCCCGTGGCGTGAAGCTAACGTCACAATTCTTTCCCGCCAATTTTTGGGTGCGTTGTGGAGTGGAGGTGTACAAAATGTAATCTGAAGGTATAAACTGGCTTTCAAAATTCTTGTTCTGTTTTTTCCTAACGAGGATGCAATGCGCTCGTGTGGCCTCCGCCACCTGGACGAGGCAAATCTTTCCAGTATCTCCAGCTTGGAAAGTTGTGCTCTCCGCCAATACCTAATTTCCACCTCTCACTAGCTGGTAGCGAAAAGATGACCAAGTAGCACTGTGACACAATCGAGGGCGGCTACTAAGTGTAATCGGCCTATCTGCGGGGCGAATTTCGGGGATCTCCAGGTTCCTAGGCCAGAGGCAATCTGTTTCACTGATCGACAATTTCGAGGTTCACTCAAATCAGGAATCAATCCTTATTCCGCTGACCTTGAGGAAGAACCAGATACTTCACCATCGCTTGAGGTGATAGCTTCCAGAAACTCTTTCAGGAACTGAGTTTCTGAATCGCTGTTTCCTGACTATCAACCATGGCTTGCACAGCGTCGACCTCCGCTTTCTCGTGCACATCAGTCGTCGCATTGACGCCACAAAGCAGCGCGACACGGTATGCCGAATGCGGTTTTCTAGAAAGTTTGGAGACACTCTATTCTCGTTAGCAGCCTTCACTCACGTATTGCAAGTAGTAGACCAAGCACACCCGCCGTCTCATCAACTCTTCTTCCATTTCCCGACCTGCAGGACCGCTGCAACTCTCAGCTGCAAGAACGTGTTCGGCAGCAGCCTTCGCCTGACAAGCCGCGCGCGGGCTGCGAGGCCTCAGTCGCAGCGCCGCGTCGCGGTCGTGTCGCCGCGAGCGGTGGATATTCTGACGTGGGACGAGGCGAAGGAGGCGGTGGATAAGGACGGGTACACCATCGTGGACATCCGTGACATCACGCAGTACGATCGCGCCAGGATTCCCGGGAGCATTCACATTCCCGCGTTTATCCTAAACACCGACAATGACGTTGGTATGTGAATGGCCTTGCGTGGTCCCTGCCGAAGCGTATGATGCTGCACTTACAGAATCCAAATTCCTCCAATGCGTTTCATCCATCAACGTTGGTGCCATTACTCGAGTTCAACTCTTCCCGCGCATCCCCTTCTCTCCGCCAGGAACGATGATCCGACGGGCGGCTCACACGAGCATGCCCGGCAATCTGTACGGCCTGGCGTTCACCAAGCCCAACCCGGACTTCATCTCCACCATCCGCTCCAAGTTCTCCTCGCCTGACGCCAAGATTCTCTTCGTGTGCCAAGAAGGCCTCCGGTAAGATTATAAGTACATAATTAGTAATCGTTCTGCTGCAAATGTTCCTCAACGGAAGGCGAGGACGAGAGCGAAGAAATTGGTCCCTAATTGCAAACCCTTGGTTTCCCTAATATGTGAAAAGAAAATCAATAGTAATTTACCATTTCAGGCTTTCAATTGAGCCTTGACTTTGCCACCTTCATCCGCCACTGTTCCCCAGCTCGCTGTCTGTGGCGTCGGACCTGGAGAGGCTCGGATACACCGACATTGTTGTCACGGAGGGCCTCAACAAGCTCAAGCCAGGTGAGCAGCGTTTTCCTACAACCTAAGAATGGCAAACCTATCAGGACGAAATTTTAAATTACGAGCCACTGAATACCACGAATTTCGTGTGTCTTAGCCTTGATGTTGTTCGGTTTAATCTCATTTTGCATGTGCCTTCCATCTACTCAATTTGCTGCAGGAGTGTTTCCCAAGGAGGGCGAGAGGGAGCTTCAGAACGCAGGAAAGGGAGGGTTTGTTTCCATCCAGAAGGAATTCTCCATCATTCTCGGGTCTATCCTCATCTGTGAGTACCATGGCCTTCGCTGCCTTCCATTGCACTGAATGCGTTTGCTGATGTCACTCTGACACATTCATGGTAGAGCAATTGTTGTTTGTCCATACCTGGTATCCCCTTCCCTGTTGCCTAATGTTTCTTGTCCTCTCATAGATAGGCCCTCTAGTGCACTGCATGTGTCTTCAACCAATGTCCCTGCCACATCCCTGCAGGCGCTATTCTCTTCCTCAAGTTCTTCCCAGAGCAGGCTGAGGTCATCTTTGGCGGCCTGTAAGGCTCTCTAAAACAGTGCGTTGCAGCTGGTTCTGCTCTCACCTTAGACTTGTACCGTACTAGGAGATTATGTTTATACTGAAGCAATGTACCCTATTCCGCTCAAAGCCTTCTGTCAACAGCACTTGGCAGCCCACCTGAAACGTAACACTACCACATGATCAGAAACAATGCAAGAATGCTCTGAATATGTACATCTTGGACCAAATGCAACTGTTCCAAATGCAGGTGTACCTATATTTGCATTTATTAATGTGCACAAACACCGAAGCCACCGAAGTGGCTGCAGTCCACTGATCTCATCGCTCGCCAAGGAAATGTCCGTGTAGTGTAGCATAGCCCGCAAAGCGAGTCATTTCCCAGTCCCGAGTAAGGCAGAACTCCCTGGGGGAAAGTTGGGGGATTTTCGCGGGAACGAATACAGTATGTGCCTTGAGATTTTGAGTGGTGAAACGGTATCGTCTGGTGATTTACGGTGCTAGTGGTTAGCTGGAACACTCCACTTTTACCTCGTAACACTCACTGACTTATCAGGCAGGGAACAATCTCCCAGGTGTGGGATGTGATTTGGGACTGACTTCGCAGCGCGCTGCAAACCCGCTAAAAACATTCGAACCGTGTTCAACCATATTCGACCTTCACACATCCAAAAATCCTCCCGTGTTCCTTGTACATCAAGTCTGCGCGTTCCAAGAATCACGAACTACTTCGCCGTCGCCACAAGCATGCACGAAAACCTTTCGCAACCCTCACCACTCAACGCGCCTTCTGGAAACCCAGTTTCAAAGCAGAAGTTACATGGAGAGAATTGCTCCAAGGCCTTGTTTGGTGATTCGCTCTTGCCCACGTGTCCCCTAATTGCTCGCGTGGCCATCGAATTCAGTGATAATTGCTCGAGTGGCCACGCCAGGGGATTTTCGAGGTGTTTTTTTTTCCCCGGCACATTACCCTACAAGGAATTCAGCCCCGAAAGTCCTCTCACATACTCGTCTCATCCCGCGCAAGCGTTGGGGACTATTCCCCACTCGAAAATTTCGTCAGGGTGGGCAGGCGCGAACGTGGCCCACTCGCTGTATAGGAAACCGACAAATAATCACGACCAAAAGAATATGTGCGCCAAATTTCGGCCCAATGCGCAACCAATGAGCGCTCGGTCAAACGAATTCGTAACCAATAAGCGCTCAAGCATATAAATCCGTGATCATATAGGTAATTGAGCGGTTTCATTTATCCGAAATTTATTATGATGACTTTATATGACCGTATATGATTGGACGTGCAGTGTCCAAGTTTGCCCCGCGCATAAAACGGACTAATCACGAAAGTCTAAATATGATTGGTCCATTTTATGCGCAGGGCATATTAGACATTGCGAAATTTTCGAGTTGGGAATAGTATAGAACGTTTGCGCGGGATGAGACGAGTACCTGAGAGGACTTTCGGGGCTAAATTCCTTGTAGGGTAATGTGCCGGGGAAAACAAAACACCTCGAAAATCCCATGGCGCGGCCACTCGAGCAATTATAACTGAATTCGATGGCCACGCGAGCAATTCGAGGACACGTGGGCAAGAGCGAATCACCAAACAAGGCCCTAGAGCAATTCTCTCAGTTACATGAGACCACGGCAGTTCGCTAAACCATGACTCGAGCTTCTCCTTCTGGCTAATGATGGGTTTACACCTCTATCGTCGCTCCCCTCTACCGACGCTGCTGTCACGCCCAACCGCGCAGATCTCGGATCGCGGTCCTGAGGTGTCCAGGACACCCGAACTCTGGACACCCCGCACGTTGGTACCACGTGCTGGCAACATGCCCGCTCACACACTTGTCGCAGGGCTGCCAATGTGCACTCCTGCGACACCTTTGCACGACCCGACTTCTCATCCGTTGGATCGCGCGCGAATTTCATTGGTACACGAGTACAGGCGTACAGTGGGCGGGGTCTACCCAAGCGACGAGGGGCATGCGTTGCCTCGGTGACTTTCCAGGTCAGCATGTCACAGGACACCCCAAGACCGCGACCTCAACTTCCCTCCCAGCTCTTCTGCCAACAACCGCCTCCTTAGCACTGGAGGGGCTTATTTTGGTATCACGCTTCGAGAAACGAACCGCGGCGTTGAATTGAACGGCAAATTTTTTGGCCAAGTCAATAGATTTTTTAGTTTTGTGTTTCCAGTTGTGTTTCTTTGTTAGCCATTGAAACAGCCTACGTCTCTCAAATTGATGACATGGGATTTTGTCATCGTTGCAGATAATAGATTCCACATTAGGCGGTCCAATCCGAAGCTGGGGTTCGTTTGGGGGTCCAATCAAAAGCTGGGGATAGTGTAGTCAGCGAATTGTTTGAAACCATTGTAGTCCAGGGTGGCATGTTTGGGACCACCATCAAAACCAGCAAGGTGAAATTCCAACCGTTGACTATTTTTGTCAGAATGTTATTCTCTAGCCTGTAGTGGGGTGCTCTATAGCGAGTACAACCCATCTAGGGTTTGCTATATGTATCCTCATTGCTGCTAGTGAAACCCTCTCTTCTTCATTCTGTCAGAATGTCATATTTGTTATCTAGCCTGCAGTGGGGTACTCTATAGCGAGTATAACCCCTTAGGGTTTCATATTTGTATCCCATTGCTTGCTAGTACAACCCTCTCTTTTGCCTAACTTCTTCTTGCCAAGCTAGGTCAGTCCTAGCTATGGCTACTATCGTTACCTACCTATCTTCACATGGTGATCAGAGCAGTACGCTCCTGGCCTGTGTGCCTAACCACGTTCCTTCCGCTGCAACTACTACTTTTCCTTACCGCCGTGCGCCCCGAGGCGCGCGGCGGTTTTCTGCCCGCCGTGCGCCCCGAGGCGCGCGGCGGTTCTCTTCCTGCCGCGCGCCCCGAGGCGCGCGGCGGGTTTCTGCCCCGTCACGCCGCGCGCCGCTCTCGGGAGGCGCTGTGACGGGCGACGGGGACCTCCGCGTCGCCCCCCGTCGCCCGTCGTGGCCTCTGTGCGGCCCGTACAGGCAGCGCGCGGCCCGTACGGGCTGCGCCATACCCACGCGCGGCCCGTACGGGCTGCGCCAGACCCACGCGCTGCCCGTACGGGCTGCGCCAGGCCGTCGCGCGGCCCGTACGGGAGACGCCCGACCCGCGCGCGGCTCGGGCTGCATGCGCGCGGCTCGGGCGTCCCTACCAGGCCCGTGGTGGGCCCGTTTCCTACCTTCCCTGCCCTCCCCGCTGTTCCCAGTCCCTCTACTACCGCCCTACCCCTCCTACTCCCCATTCTCCTACTTTAGGGTTTGGGGGTGAGGGGTATGGGGGTGACCCTCCTCAGTACCACTCCCTGCTCCTCCTCCTCCTCCGTCTCCTTGTGCCGCAGCTGCCGCTGAGGGGGGGGTGATTGTGGTGGAGCCGGTGGAGTGATACTAAGGGGGGGGGAAGGGGAGGAGAGCTAGCGGTGTAGCAGTGGGTGTGTGCCAAGGGGAGTAGGACAGTCTGGGGAAGCTGAATGGAGGATGCCGATGTGTCGCTAGCAGCACCTGTAGTCCGGGGACTTCGTCCGGTAGCTCAGTCGTAGCCAGCTGTGCCAGCCGCCCGTGGGTTCGTTGCTCGTCTGCCGCTACTTTAGCCGCGGGGCCAGTTATTCCTGTAGTCCGGGGGCTTCGTCCGGTAGCCGCTGTGCCAGTCTGCCTCCTGTTGCCCGTGTGTCTGCAGCTTCATCCGTCGCCTCCTATCTCCTCTCCTCTCAGTCTCTCTCCTCCTCCTCACTTGCCCGTTGTGACTACCTCTAGCTTTGCTTATAACTGTGAACTTTATACTACTGCTGCTTGAACTTGTGCTCAGACTGTGTGGTGACATTGTGATCCACCCTGAGCTTGTTCTGTTTTGCTTGCTCTGCTGATTACACCCCACTTTGGCTATGGGGGTGTGTCAAAATGTCATATTTGTTATCTAGCCTGCAGTGGGGTACTCTATAGCGAGTATAACCCCTTAGGGTTTCATATTTGTATCCCATTGCTTGCTAGTACAACCCTCTTTTTTGCCTAACTTCTTCTTGCCTAGCTAGGTCAGTCCTAGCTATGGCTACTATCGTTACCTACCTATCTTCACACATTCCTCATTCTTCACATGGTATCGAGCAGGTTCCCTAGTGGGAACGCTACCTATGGCCCACCACGATACTTTTTTTTTTCCTGCCCGGAGCGCGCTTCACTCCTGCCCGAGTCGCGCTCTGTATGCCCTCCCTACCTTCGAGCCGCCCTTAGTGGCCCCTCTCACGGCCCCTTTGGCCGCCCTTACGGCCCCTCGCGCCGCCCTTACGGCCCCTCGCGCCGCCCTTACGGCCCCTCGCGCCGCCCTCTACGGCCCCTCGCGCCGCCCTTACGGCCCCTTACGGCCCCTTAAGGCCCCTCGCGTCGCCCTTACGGCCCTCGCGCGGCCCCTTTTGGCCCCTCGCGGCGCCCTTTCCGGCCCCTTACGGCCCCGTCTAGGCCCCTTGCGACCCCGCTACGGCCCTGTCTAGGCCCATTACGGCCCCTCCGCGGCCCCGTCTAGGCCCCTTGCGGCCCCGCTACGGCCCCGTCTAAGCCCCTTACGGCCCCTCCGCGGCCCCGTCTAGGCCCCTTGCGGCCCCGTCGCCGACCCTAGCGGCCCCGTCGCCGCTCCTATCGGCCCCGTCGCCGCAACCAGCGGCCCCGTCGATGCCGCTAGCGGCCCCGTCGCCGACCCTAGCGGCCCCGTCGCCGCTCCTATCGGCCCCGTCGCCGCCGCCAGCGGCCCCGTCGCCGACCCGAGCGGCCCCGTCGCCGCTCCTATCGGCCCCGTCGCCGCCGCCAGCGGCCCCGTCGACGCCGTCAGCGGCCCCGTCGACGCCGTCAGCGGCCCCGTCGCCGACCCTAGCGGCCCCGTCGCCGCTCCCATCAGCCCCGTCGCCTCCGCCAGCGGCCCCGTCGCCGCCGCCAGCGGCCCCGTCGCCGACCCTAGCGGCCCCGTCGCCGCTCCTATCGGCCCCGTCGCCGCCGCCAGCGGCCCCGTCGTCGCCGCCAGCGGCCCCGTCGCCGCCTCCAGCGGCCCTGTCGCCGCCACTTGCGGCCCCGGCCCCGCCCCGGCCATGCCCCGTCTCCAGCCGCGGCGCACCGGGGGCACGTGCACCGCCCCCCCTCCCTTTTCCCGTCGCCCGTCGCGGCTGAGGGGGCCGCGGGCGACCTGGGGGAGGGGGGAGAGCATCGCCCCTTCTGCCGCCTGTTTTGGCGCCCTGGGAGACCGCGCGTCGCCCCCCCACCCCCCCCCCCCTAACCTCCCTACCCGCCGTCCCACCCTGCCCTGTGTTAGGGTCTGGGGGTGGCGAGTAGGGGGTGACGGGTGTGTGGTCTCCCCTGCTCCTCCTCCTCCTTCGTCTCCCACTGCTGCAGCTGTCGCTGAGGGGGGTGGATGTGTGGGAGCCTGGGGTTTAGGGTTTAAGGGGGGTGCTGTGGGAGTGGAGCTAGGGTTTTGAGGGAGGTGGATGTGTGTGAGCCTGCGGTTTAGGGTGTAAGGGGGGTGCTATGGGAGTGGAGCTAGGGTTTTAGCAGGGGGTGTGTGTCGAGAGGTGTGGGGCAGCTGGAGGAGGTTGGTTGAACGGAGGTTGTCGTCGTGTCGTCAGCAGCACCAGTAGTCCGGGGCGCTGCTCCGGTAGCCCAGTCGTAGCCAGCTGTGCCAGTCGCCCGTGGGTCCGTTGCTCGTCTGCCGCTAGTCTTAGCCGCGGAGCCAGTTACTCCAGTAGTCCGGAGCGCTGTTCCGGTAGCCGCTGTGCCAGTGCGACTCCTGTTGCCCGTGTGTCTGCAGCTTCAGCCGTCGCCTCCTATCTCCTCTCCTCTTACAGTCTCGCCTCCTCCTCCTCACTTGCCCTTTGTGAATGACTCTAGCTTTGCTCGCTATTGTGAACTCCTGCTCTATGCCTACTTGCTCATTGTGCTGATTACACCCCACTTGGGCTATGGGGGTATGTCAGAATGTTATTCTCTAGCCTGTAGTGGGGTGCTCTATAGCGAGTACAACCCATCTAGGGTTTGCTATATGTATCCTCATTGCTGCTAGTGAAACCCTCTCTTCTTCATTCCTCATTCTTCACAGTTTTCACCGAATAGCGCGTCCCAACGATCTGCAGTTAGAATTTCACGCATCTTCATGCTTCATTCCAAATCCGGCTATTCTTTTCGGAATTACAGTACGTTTCCGCAGCCTTCTTTGGCATGTTTGCCAGTCTAGCCTTCCTGCATCGTATGGTCGGATGGGGGAGCTTCGTGACCTCGACCATGTGACTGTCAGCAACGTAGCGAGTCAGCTTGCCTTTCAGGTACAACCACCATTCCTATGACGCTTTTGTATCAGCGACGTGATTCCTTTGATGTACGCGACGTTCATTTCGTTTCGACGCTGATTCTGACGCTGATGTTCGTTGTTTCACCATTCGCGGAACATTATTGAATTGTCGTGGATATGCATCTCTCAATCAATTTTGTCGCGACCCCAACTACGACGTGGCTGAAGCGACATCGATCTCCCCGACTTGTGACGGTGAAGGTCGAATGTATCACTTTTCACCACCTCTCACCACAGAGCCTCCTCCCCCCGGTTAAGGTTTGGTAAAGGTTCGGTACAAGTGTAGTAAATGTTTTTTTGTTGGTACAGGTTGGTGGCTCTGTGGTGGGTTAGCACTTGTTTCTTCACTTCGCAAAGTCGTTATTTCCGTTGCGTGCTTTCTTCACTTCCATATACTAACTACATGTTTTGTCTAGACTCGCAGGTTTTAATGGAGATTGCGAGGCGTACTTTCAAAGAGGAGCACCATCCTTTGGCGTTCTGCCATGCTTCATGGCGGACAACAGAGGAGAAGTTCCACGGCTGGTGAAGGTGAAGGTGAAAAGTATCAGTTTCAACCTTCACACTCCAGAGCCACCCCCTTGGTTGAGGTTAGGTACAGGTCCAGGTCTGGTAAAGGTCCCCTTAAAGGTCTTTTGGTTGGTATTTGGCTCGTTTTTTCCACGCCTTTTTCTCGTTTCGCATGCTTTGATGTCCGAAATTTACTCATTCTCGTTTATTTCTGTACTTGCAGGTTTTATCTGCAGCCTACCGCGTTTTTCGGAGAAGCAACATCTTATGGCGTCCTGCCATGCTTCATGGCGGACATCGGAGGAGCACCTCCACGGCTGGTGAAGGTTGAACGTATCATCCACACCTTGTTCACGCCACAGAGCCACCCCCCTTGGTTCAGGTTCAGGTTTGGTAAAGGTGAAGGTGGTAAAGGTACCCCTAAGGTTTTTTGGTTGGTATAGATAGGCTCTGTGGCACTTGCACCATTGTTGCACCATCCGTTTCTGCATGCTTTGTTTACTGCTCATTACTAACTTAGTTCCTGTGATATCCTTGCAGGTTCTATTCAAGGCCCTTGTGCTCCAAGGCGGGGTGAACGTACCTGCCAACAGCACATGGCAGGTACCTCCTCTCTCTCCACCAGCAGTAAGTCTCATTTCCACCCCTCGTCGTTTAAGTCACTTGCTGCATGTTGTTCGTTTTCCTTCGTTGAGTTGGTTTACTGACTTAATTTTCCTGACTTACTTGGCAGGTTTGCTGCACCAAGGGATTCTAACAAGCCCAAGAATCAGGATCCATGGAAGCACCATGGCATGCTGAGGCACCTCAAAGTTTCCAACTTCAGCATTTTCCCTTGATTTCTCGCTAAAGTCCACTGATAAATCCACGTTTTTTTTTTTTTTTTTCCAAGTTGTACTCCAATGTCAACGGGAGTTGTGTGTTGGCCCCGTCCTTGCTTGGGCGTTGACGACTTCGTGGTCGGGTGTGAGGGGAGCAGCCGACCTGCAGCAGTGGGCGAGCTGGTTTATGACGAGGTCGATCTGCACGGAGACCACTGTACGGGCGCCGACTTCAGGGTGGCGCCGACTTCAGGGAGGTCGACTTGGGAAGTCGACCTGCGGAGGACGTCAACTTGGTGACGTCAACTTGGGAAAGCCTACTTCGATGGTCGGTTGACGGACTGCTGGTCGACCTCGTGGTTGGTCGACCAGGCCTGCTGGTCGACCTGCTGGTGGTCGACCCGACTCGGTGGTCGACGAAGGAGGGGCCGACGTTGACCTCAACTCAGGACGCCGAGCAGTTGGGCGTCGAGTAGCTGGGCGTCAACTTCGTGACGCCGACTTCGAGGTGGCCGTCGACTTGGGAGGTCGACGGGCACGCACGGGAGTAGCTGGTCGACGTGGTTGCCCGGTCGACTAGGTTACCTGGGTGACGAGGTTCTGCGGAGGAGTGCGACAGTCGCCCAGGCGAAGTTGGCGAGCCCGACCTCGGTGGTGGTATCCCGAGGTCAACGTGGCTGATCAGAAACAGTCATCAGCGCCAGGTTGACTTGGTGTGTGCGTTGTGCAGGTGACGAGGCTCAGCCCGCGAATCATCAGCAAGCACCTGCGAAGCGGGTGCGCTGCTGTTCTGCGTGAGCACCGCTGGCACGCTGTCAACCTGCGACGTTGGCACGCCGTCGACTTTGCACTGCTGGAGCGCGGTCGACCAAGTCGTGCTGGAACGCGGTCAACCATGCTGCGCTGGCAGTCGACCGACCTGAATGCTAGCTCTGATGTAGTCTTGCCATGCCAACTTCATTTGTATTATTGTTGACAAATTTCTCTAGTGAAACTCTTGCCAACTTGTCCCGTGAACTAGCAAGCACTGTATGCACTAGGAAAACGACTAAGGACCAACGAACGCAGAGATCACACAAGCACCCGTGCCTAGCCCGTAGTCTAGCTCCCGTTGTAGTAGTTATATCCGCATTCAACTCTACAGTTACTGACTTGTTTCATTTCGCCTCATGGCAGGTTCTCCAAGTGCCATCTATACGCCATGGACCCCCAAGACCTTGCGCTCCGCTACACACTCCACCAAGCCCAAGATCCATGGGAGCACCATGGCCTGCTAAAGCGCCTCAACGCTCAAGCACCACTCCACACTTCAAGCTCCTCAACCTCAGATAAGTTTCAGCCCCTACCTTCGAGCTCCTTTTCTCTTGCACATGGCTTTATTGTGTTTGTTGATTTGCTTTAGAGCATGCTGCTCTGTTGCCTTCTCTTTTTTATCATGGACTAATCTTCATCTTTCTTCTGTCTGCAGGTGCCTTCATGGGCCGCAAGTCTCAGGGCGTGTTCCTACGGCCTCATATCTTGAAACCTCGTATCAAGAATGTACTTTTTGCCTGGTAAAACTATCGAGAGGTTTTGGGTTTAGGGGAATTTCCAGTGTGAGCATGATACGAGGTTCTCTTGATACGAGGTGCAGGAACACGCTCTCAGTGGGTGGCAAGCGATGGCCTGCTGAATCGTCTCAACGCTCAAGCACTGCTCCACACTCTGAGCTCCTAACCCACAGATAAGTTTCAGCCCCTACTATCGAGCTCTCTTTTTCGTGCACATGGCTTTATTTCGTTTGTTGATTTGCTTTGGTGCATCCTGTATTTTTGCCTTCTTTTGTTTATCATGGACTAATGTTTATCTTTCTGTGCCTGCAGGTACCTTCATGGTCGGCAAGTCTCAGCGGGTGGCATGGCAAGCCATGTGGCCAGTGCATGAGAGGGGGTGAAGCTTTGAGCATTGGCTGGGGACTCGATTCCCGGCCAAACCGGACTGGTTCTGTCCCCTCCTGCCCCCACCAAGTGACAAAACTGTCTGGCCAGCAGTGATGTCATTTGGTGGAGGTGGTGGTGGGCAGAGCCAGTCCCTAGTAGGGCACCCGCACGTCTTGGTCCTGGCAATGCTCAAAGGCTCAGCCTTCCTCTCTGCCTGTGCAGTACACTGCCAGTCCATGCCGGGGTGGACATGGATGGCATGTTGCCATGGAGTGGCTCTGGACCTGTGGTTGGTAGGATTAGACAGAATTACATTGGCTGAGTGTACCTTTGAATTTTATATTACCGTATTGTTTTACAGAATGTTCACTAGTGAAGTGATACTACCGTATTCTCCTGGATAAAACACCCCCCTGTAATTGTACACCCCCGGGTAGCTTATACGGGGTGGGTGTTATATCCGACCCCGTTAGTACTATACCCCCCCTTTTGGGGTGATTCTCTATAGCACCCCCCTTTTCTTATAGATTCCTATTATAGCTGTTATCGAGTCCGATTCCTTACGGGAGGATATTATTAGAATGGACTAAGATACTAGCGGAAGCTTTAGTAGTCTTAGAACCTCCTCCTAAAGCCTAGGAATCCTAGGAGCCCAGTTGGGCATGAACCATGCTAGAACCAAAGTGGTTTCCAAAAAGTGAAAATACCAACAAGAGAGAACCCTAACCTATAGGGTTTGGGAGGTCGTCCACTCTAAAGAGTGTACACCACAAGTTCTCCCAACCCAACCAATGTATTCTACACTACCATAGTGTAGATGTACCACTACATATGTTTATTGGAGCAACCCGAATTAACCTTAATTCCAACACCCCCCTCTTGCTCCAATAAGCATTAAAGTTCACCCATAAATCAAAATACAACCCCTCCAGCGAATGAAGCCTTGGCCTTCGCAGCAATCACTCGCATGCCGATGCGCTCCAGGTTCTCATGCAGCTGCAAGCTTGGAAGAGCTTTGGTGAGCATGTCGGCATCCTGGAGGTGGGAGCGTACTGAGTGCACCTCGACCTCCTGCTGGCGCACCGCATCCCGTACAAAGTGCCATGCCACCTTAATGTGCTTGGTGCGCTGATGGAGAACGGGATTGTGGGCAAGGGAGACAGCTGCCTCATTATCACAGAGCAATGGAATAGCCCCCCCATCCCCCACATGCATCTCTGCCAACAGACTCCTCAACCAAATGGCCTCCTTGGCCCCCTCCGATAGAGCTTTGTACTCAGCTTCAGAAACGCTTGCTGCAACACTGTCTTGCTTTTTGCTATACCAGCTGATTGCTCCTCCTCCCAGCTTAAAGATGTAGGCAGAGCGACTCTTGCCATCAGTCTCACCACCCCAATCCGAGTCTGTGTACCCGACAACCTGCTCACCACCTTGGCGCTCATACCTGATGACACGATCAGCTGTGTCGACCAAGTACCTGAGTGCTCTCAGTGCAGCGCGCATGTGAATGCGTCTTGGTGCCACGCAGGACTGTGCAAGGGTGTTGACAGTGAAAGACATGTCAGGACGGGTGGTCACAGCAGCATACATCAAGCTGCCAATGAGACTCTGGTACACCTTGACATCAGCTGCAACACCTTCCTCAGTTGACCAAGTACCATTCCTGATCTTAGAGAGATCATTGGGTGACATTGGAGTATGCACCCTATGGGTCTCCTTCAGCAGATCACCAAACCTTCCCTGGAGACCACGGACATACTTCTCCTGACCAATCTCCAACCACCCATCCTTGACCGACCTGCGAACCTCCACACCAAGGTACATGGATACCTCACCTAGATCCTTCATCTGGTACCTCTGAGCAAGCACCTCCTTGACCTGACCGATCAGCTCCAAGCGTGGAGACACAAGCAAGAGGTCATCCACATACACCAATACATACACTGGCTCTTCATCCACAAACCTGATGTACAGAGCCTCATCACATGCACTGCGGTCAAACCCTGCTGCAATCAAGGTGGTACCAATCTCCTCATTCCAAGCACGAGGCGCTTGCTTGAGCCCATAGAGAGCTTTGCGCAAGCGATGCACCCTACCTGTACCATCATCAAATCCCTCAGGTTGCCTCACATACACTTCCTCTTGAAGGAGTGCATTGAGGTAAGCATGATCAACATCCTCCTGTTGTACATGCCACCCTTTTACCGCGGCTTCTGCAAGAAGCACCCGACCTGAGGTCAGCTTGCCCACAGGGGCAAATACCTGATCATAGTCCTTCTCAGGCTCCTGAGTGTACCCCTTAGCAACAAGGCGAACCTTGTGCTGTACCACCTTATCCTCCTTGTCAGTTTTCCTGCGGAAAACGTACCGGACCCCAATGGCCTTCTTACCTGGAGGTAAGTCAACCGGCTCTGGATCCCATACACCCATAGTGCGCATTGCATTTACCTCCTTCTCAGCGCCTGCCTTCCACGCAGGGCCCTCAGGGCCACGCAGGGCCTCAGCGAGTGTGCGTGGGACATCACCTGTGCTCACACCTGCCAGTGCAACACCTTCCACCTCCCTGGCCAAACATAGCATGCCCTCAACCACACCAGCATCCCCCCCTACCTCCTCACCACCTGTACCAGACTGGATACCAAGCACCTGCAAACCCGTAACCGGTGGTGGGGAGGTAGTCGCTGGTGACGGAGGGGCACCCGTAGAGAGAGGGATAGAGCGCTGACCAGAGGAGGAGGAAGAGGAAGTAGCCTGTGTAGCGGATCTCTGCTGAATGACCGAGGGGCCACTGAGGTGCTGTAGAGGGGTGGGCTGCTGCTGCACCGACACACTCAGCGGTGCCGGTGGCAGTGGTGAAAGTGGCATCTCAACGTCGTCAGCCGTTGCTGAAGGTGGCGAGAGTGGAAGGGGGAGGAGTTGGGAAATTGCAGCTGCATCCTGCAGAAGCTCCCCAAATTCCTTTGCCTTGTCCCAATCCTTCCACATCACATTCTCAAGGAAATCAACATCCCGAGCAATGCGAATGCGCATGATAGAAGGGTCCAGCATGCGCCAACCCTTGCTCTCCATGTCCACCCCAACACAGACACACATGACAGCCCGTGCATCAAGCTTGCCACCCTTCTCATGCCCATGCAACATGACACTCCCCATGCAACCCCAAATCCGAGCCATGCCCACATGCGGCTTCTGGCCGGACCACGCCTCCATTGGTGTGATGGAGGCAGGCAAAGCACTGTGGGTGACCCTGTTCTTAACCCACACGACCCACATCAATGCTTCACCCCACAAGCGAGCAGGGAGACCACTGTCGACCAACAATGTGCGAATCCCCTCTGCCATCGTCCTGTGCCACCTCTCCACAACCCCATTCTGTTGCGGTGTATCTGCGACGCTCAATTGAGTTTTAATGCCAAACTCCGCCTTCCATGCTTTTACAGCTTCCCCCAAGAACTCGCCACCCCTGTCCGAGCGAACAGCCTTCAGCTTCCGCCCACACTCCAACTCCACGTCCTTATGCCACTGGCGAAGGACTTTTGCAACTATGGCCGATTCCTTGTTGGGGAGGGGGAACGACCAAACTCGTCTGGTGAAGTCGTCAATGAGACTGAGAACATACACCGCTCCTCCCAGTGATGGTGTGCGCACCGGCCCCCACAAATCCATGTGGACCTCATCCAAAGGCCCAAGTGCCCGAGATGCCTCATGGGGAAACGGCTTCCGAGCCGACTTTCCCAATAAGCAGGGCTCACATGGGGAACAATCAGTGTTCCCCCCCCCAATCTCCAAGCCCAGTACACTGTTCCCCCGAGCCATCTGTTGCAATGTTGTGGGGGCGGTATGACCAAGGCGGCGATGGGCAAGGGTCAATGGGGAAAATGAGGAGGACGACTTAGCTGCAAGAGCACTGCCCTGTGTGCCCTGAGCAAGAGGAAGAAACATCCGCACCAATCCATGGTCCCTTCCCCTCTCCTTTTCTCCAATCGCCAACACCCGCTCCCCCCGTTGAAGGACACATCTCTTGCCTTTGAATGTGACAATGACATCTCGAGAGGTGAGGTGTGGGACTGACAGCAGACGCGTGTGCATCTCAGGCACAAGGTGGACCTTTTGAATCCTCAGCAGCTGACCTCCAGCACCAACCACTGGCACCTCACCCATGCCAACAGCTTTCACCACCCGTCCATCTCCCAATCTAACTCCCCGAACCTCTGGTGGTTGAAGCTTACTTTTGAAGTCCGATGCATAAGGAGTAAAGTTGTGGCTGGCCCCACTGTCAATCCACCACCCCTCTCGCGGCTGCTCCTCTCCCACTGCTGCAACTGCTTCTCCAACCACTGCCTCTGCCTTGTCATCCTGCTCCTCCTCATCCGCCACCTGTGCCTTGCCGTTGGACCCACGACCCCCCCGCTTTAAGAATGCCGGAATGCCTCCCTTAGGTCGATGAGGACATCGCTGCCATGCATGTCCCTCATCCCAACAGCCATGACACAACCCCCGAGGAGCCATGCCCTTGGACCCCCAAGGGAAATCAAGCACTCCCGCTTTGCCTTTCCCTTGACCCCATCTGCCCGAGTTGGTGTCACTGCTGCTACCGCTGTCTCCATGCTTTCCTCCCTTGACCCAATTTCCCCTGCCGCTGCTGCCCACTTTCGTACCCGCTCCAAATGTGGCTACACCATCCGATCTTAGTGCGACACCAATCCGCATCTCCTCGCTTCTCAAGGAGGTAAGCAGCTGATCCTTAGTAAGCGATGATGACTGGTTGTTCAACACCACCTTCAGCATCTCAAAGTGAGGAGGTAGTCCTTTGAGTACCCTCATCATCCACTCCTCAACCTCCTCCTTTCCTCCTGCAGCCAAGTACTTGGACCTCAAGTCCTCGGCACGCGCCCAGTATGCAGCCACCCCCTCCCCCTCTTTCATCTTCAATGAAGAGAGCTCCTCAGAGAGTGCCATCCGGTTACACAATCCGCGCTGAAGGTAGAACTCCTTCACTCGTATGTATGCCGCTGCTGTGCCTGCAGGAATTTGGGTGACCGCTCTTGCTCCGCCATCAACAGGTGCGCTGCCCAACTCGGTCTTGCCGCCGAACTCCCGTACCAAGCGAATTAGCTCATCTGGCACCAAGGCATTGCAGAATTGAGCGAATGCCTTCTGATTTTTTCTCTCCCACTTCAGCCGTGCGTCACCCGATGCAGGCCGCTCCTCCGAACCATGAAAGTACCCCCATAGATCGTGTGCCTCTGCCCATTGTTCGAATCGGAAGCTCCAAGTCCAATAGTCGCTCCCGTCGGATTTTGGCGCACTCTCCAGCTTCCCTTCACCTGAGTCATGATCCATTTGCGGCAGACACTCGGGAGATTGACGTTGAGGTGGTGGTGGAGGCAACGGCGGCGGTGGTGGAGACGATGTGGACAGATTTGCCCCCTCTTGGTTTTTGGAGCGTAACTCCGCGCTCGAACCTCCGAATGATGAGCCGTTTGTCTCAGATGAATCTTTGCTCCAAGACCGTTCCGATGATGTATCGCGCTCCTGGATCCCGCTTCCAAGCTGGCCGCTTAAACTCGTCGAAGTTGGCCGATTTCCCGTCGACGAAGACTCAACCGTTTCTCCCGATTTTTGGCTTGTTGGATGCGCCCTGGCCTCCTCTATCGGCGTCTGGCCTCCAATCTTTTTTCCGCGCTTTAAATCTTCCCCGATTTGCGATTTTCCAATTCGTCCGCCGGCAGTTTTTCGCGAATTGCGTCCGATCCCCTCGTCGAATGGTGACGACCCTGAGGCAATTGTTGTAGAGCGTGCTGAGACCTTTCCAACGGTATGCTGCACGTTTTGATCGGCCAACGTTGACTGAGCGCCTCCGTGGTAGATGCCGCTCTTCTCGTCCTCCCAAACGGATCCACACGATTTCCAGCAGTTTTCTTCTCTCCTCCTCCCCTCCCACGTCCAGAGTCCGCCACGGTGCAATTTCGGCAGCCCTTCGGGAGGAATGGAAGCTAACTAGCTTCCACCAAGATCTTATGGTCCAATGTCTTGAGTAACTCCTATTCCAACAGATTGCTAGGCCTTCCTTGCTCTGATACCATATTAGAATGGACTAAGATACTAGCGGAAGCTTTAGTAGTCTTAGAACCTCCTCATAAAGCCTAGGAATCCTAGGAGCCCACTTGGGCATGAACCATGCTAGAACCAAAGTGGTTTCCAAAAAGTGAAAATACCAACAAGAGAGAACCCTAACCTATAGGGTTTGGGAGGTCGTCCACTCTAAAGAGTGTACACCACAAGTTCTCCCAACCCAACCAATGTATTCTACACTACCATAGTGTAGATGTACCACTACATATGTTTATTGGAGCAACCCGAATTAACCTTAATTCCAACAGATATCGCGAGAATCGCTCTCTAGAAGAAATTTCGCATGTACCTTCACTTAGAAACAGCCGATATATCCCCCCTACCACAGTCTCGCTGTCGCCACGCTGGCGAATCTTCCACTGCAAGTGGTCCAAGAGGTGAAGTGGCCCAAGTGGCCCACAATATCCTCGTACTCGGTTTTGCGGCATTGATCAACAATCTTGAAGTTAAGTCAGACCCCTGATTTTGTCTCACATCTTTTCTGCTTTATAAAAAATATACCATATAATAAGACCCGGGTATTATGTAGGATTTTCCTTTGAGGAGACCCCCCCCCCCCCCCCCCATTTTTTTCCAGTGGTTTTCATAATACCCTAGGGTGTTTTATCCGGGAGAATACGGTATACGTAGAGCATAGAATGTCTCAGCAACCTGAAGAATTAATGTACTAATCAAGCATTATTCAAAATCGTAATTGTACTAGATAATCCACCACCTTATGCCTGAAAATATATCTGCTGCATGCTGACAGCCAGGCTATACACAGCACAAGGATAGGTCTCCTGTACGTGAATGTATCTAGAAAACAAGGCAGGGCAAACATCATGTTCACCATGCTTCTACTATTCACACCTCACATGCAATATAGCTAGCTGCCTAATGCAATGGGTAACACTCGAAAGCAGCTTGTGGCAATGGGTAAGGGGGAGGAGCGAGAGAGAAACGCGTGAAAACACGGGAAGGAGAGGGAGCAACGGAAAGTAAGGGAGCAGAAGCTGATGAGGAGCGGAGCAGTGGAAGATGCACTCAGGTTCGTTGCAGGCCCGGAAGAAGCACCCGAACCTCACGCTCCTCGGTGACTGCCATGAGCTTCGGCATCAGCAGCTCGATACCAGACCTGGTGGGATGAAACACAGAAAGGAGAAGCAAGGAATGTGGAAGTGATGCTGGCACCGCACTGAACCAATCCTTCCAACAATCAACATTTTCTTAAAGAGGCATTGAGTTGCTTCAATCCATTGACACACTCACCCGTCTGCTAAACACACCCGCCTCTCTCCCCAGTACACTCACCCGTCTGCAGACACACTGGCTGCCACGTCAGCATTTTCTGGTATGCGCTGGGGCAGCTGCACCTCCCTTTCGAACGGGCCAACAGGGCAATGCTCCCCCGGCCACTGAGAGCGCGACACTTGGCGGAATGTGCGGCCGGAGCGAGATACGGATGGCGGGGGGAAGATGGCAGCACAGGAGATCTGATTCGGATTGGCATGGGAAGGAAATGGAGGGAATTGTTGGGTGGAAGGGCGGGAGGAGTGGAGGAAAATTCAAGCGATTGTAAAAGAGAGCGATGGAGAGAAGGCTAGTGTGACGTGGATATGTAAGAAAGCATGTTGGGTGGATCGGTGCATAAGGATGTGGGCATGGTTGCATGGGCACATGGGCGCATGGGAGCATGCCAGCAGCACTGCCAGCAGCCAGCATCTTGCACAGTCATCTCTCCCCAATGAGCCACGCAGCACACCTTGACTATCCCAGCGTATGTTTTTTTTAGAATTCTCAAAAAACACGTCTTGCACAGTCATCTCTCCCCAATGAACCACCCAGCGCACCTTGACTATCCCAGCGTATGTTTTTATTAGAATTCTCAAAAAACACATCTTGCACTGTCATCTCTCCCCAATGAACCACGCAGCACACCTTGACTATCCCAGCGTATGTTTTTTTAGAATTCTCAAAAAACACGTCTTGCACAGTCATCTCTCCCCAATGAACCACCCAGCGCACCTTGACTATCCCAGCGTATGTTTTTATTAGAATTCTCAAAAAACACATCTTGCACAGTCATCTCTCCCCAATGAACCACGCAGCACACCTTGACTATCCCAGTGTATATTTTTTTTTAATTCTCAAAAAACACGTCTTGCACAGTCATCTCTCCCCAATGAACCACGCAGCACACCTTGACTATCCCAGTGTATGTTTTTTTTTGGAATTCTAAAAAAACACATCTTGCACAGTCATCTCTCCCCAATGAACCACGCAGCACACCTTGACTATCCCAGCGTATGATTCTTTTGGAATTCTCAAAAAACACATCTTGCACAGTCATCTCTCCCAAATGAACCACCCAGTGCACCTTGACTATCCCAGCGTATGTTTTTTTTAGAATTCTCAAAAAACACATCTTACACAGTCATCTCTCCCCAATGAACCACCCAGCGCACCTTGACGATCCCAGCAGCACCGGCGTTGCGCCACGTGACTCGGAGGCAGGAGAGGTTGCAGTGGGGCAGCGACACCAGCAGCAGGTAGGCTGACGCATCCTCATACAGCGTGCACACGCACGTGGGCGGACCCACAGCCTGTGACAGGGCAAGGAAGAATACATAATGAGGTGCCTCCGAATAAGACGCATGCTGCCTCCTCATACAGCGTGCATGCGCACGTGGTTGGAACCACAGCCTGCGACAGGGAAAGGGGGAGTAGATACCAATGCGCCTTCGAATAAGACGCATGCCGCATCCCTGTACAGCGTGCACGTGCACGTGGGTGGAACCACAGCCTGCGGCCGGGCCAAGAGGAGCAAGGGGAGAACAAGAGCGACAGAAGCCAAGTGGCTTCAAGGCTTTCCCAGATTACAGGGGGGGTAGTGAGTGAACAGCGCCATTTCAAAGAAGAAGCACACCTGTGCAAGTGTGCCTGACGCCCCTCCTCGCCATCCCATGGCTGCTGTGGTGCGCCCAGGCCCTGGGTTCAATACTCTGGCCACAACCCCACTTGCTCCTGCTGCCTCTTCTCCTCTCTCCTCCTCCCTAATGCCCACTCCTCCACCCTGCTGTCTCAGCATCCCCTCGCCCACCACCCTGCCCGCCCTTCCTCCTGCTCCTAAGCTGTCGCCAGCAACACTCACTCTGTTCGGCATACTCCCGTTTCCACTTCTCCTCCCCTCTTGCCCACGTCTCCCTCCGGTCCCATTCACGTGGTGGTTGTGGCTCAGGTTGAGAGGGCTCACATTGGGGGGGCTTAGATTGGGGGATGCCAGCCCAGGACCCTCATGCACCCCTTCGCTATAGTCACGCGCCGATGCACCCACGCTTGTAGACGACAGCCCCGGCTGCGTCTCAGCCTCACTTGCAGCTTCGGCAGTAGGCTCGGTCCGAAGCGTGGTACTTGGTTCGGTTTGAGGTGTGACATCAGGTTCGGTGCCCAGCCTACGGTGGTACTCCGATGTATGGGCCATGGGAAGCTGAGCTCTCGCCACCGATGCTGCCACTCGTGCTGGTGCTACCAGTGCTACTGGTGCTGCCAGTGCTGCGGGTGCAGGTGGCAGTGGCAGTAATAGTGGCGCTGCTGCTTGGATTGCTGGGTGGAGTACCGTAGCTGCCAGGGAAGCTGCTACAGCTGCTGTTGCTGCTGCTCGTGCTGGTGGTGCTGCCATTGACGACGAAGTTGGTCTGTGGCATCTGTGTGCAATCTGCCTTTCTTGCTGCTGCTGCTGCTGCTGGTCCCCTTGCTGCTCTTGCTGCTGTTGCTGCTGCTGCTGCTGCTGCTGCTGCTGCTGCTGCTGCTGCTGCTGCTGCTGTTCCCGTTGCTGCTGTTCTTGCTGCTGGCGTTGCCCCTGCTGCTGCAGCTGCAGCTGCTGATGATGACGAGGATTGTTATGTTGTTGCGGATGCTGCTGTTGCTGTTGCTGCCGTTTTTGCCACAGTTGCTGCTGCAGCACGTGTGCTGCTGCCACACCTCGGCAGACACCTGCTCTCACGGCTACATTCGACTCATCTGCCCCGTCTCCCGCACTGCTTGAATGGTCCCTCTCCTCTGCAGCCACTCCCGCTTGACGAGCGGCAGCAGAATCACTGTTCACTGCTGCATTAGAAGCACCCACACCTGCTGCCATACCCCCTGCCGTACCTCCTGCCACACATCCTGCCATACCTCCTGCGATCCCTCTGCTATCATTGGTGTCAGCAGCCAAAGGATGCAGAGCAGCAGTGGCAGCAGGCATGGCAGCAGCGTTGATATGCCTGAAACCAGCATCTGCAGGCCTGCTAGCAGCAGTAACATGCGTGGCAGCAGGCAGCAGCGGAGCAGAGGCACACATGGCCCGCTTGCTTGTGCTGCCCAGAAGCGGGTCGTCTGCCCGTCTCCGCCGCCCAGATGTGAACACAGGTGGCTGTGAGCATGGCTGGGGGGATGCACCCGCCTGCAATGATGCATTCTGGGGGGGTGTACCCACATGCAGTAACGCATTCAGCTGGGGAGATGCATCCGTGTGCTCCAAGGCTTGCACAGGAGGGGGCGATGGGCACACGCGCTGTCTTTGCGAGTTTTCACCCTGTCTGGTTGGATTCAGTGGCTGCAGGGGCGAATCTCTTGACCACACCTGCTGCTGCCCCTCAGCCTGTACTGACCTCACCTGCTGCCGCCCTGCCTGTGCTGACTGCACCTGCTGCTGCCTCGCTGCTGCTCTCCTATGCCGCACAATCTCTCCCTCTGCTCCTCCTCTGTTCCTTTCAACCCCGTCTTGCCCGCCCCCCATCCGCCCCTCCCCTTCCATCTCCACACAGTTCCACTGCCAGCCTGCAACACCTTCCCTGTCACGCTGCTGGTGGCCCCTTCCCCTGTGCTGCATGCCTTGAAGGGACAAGCCGTTGAGTGGCTGCACGCGGCTTGAAGTGGGGATGTCTGCATGTGTGCCCGATATACCATGTTCGCTCAACCTTTCAGAAGCTGCTTGCTGTCCTAAATGTGCCTCTTGTGCTCCGAGCTGCATTCGCTGCTGCTGCTGTGCTACCTGTTGCTCCTGTGCTGCCTGCTCCTGCTGCTGCACACTCTGCTGTGGAGACTGTTGCTGGCTTCCCTGCCCCGGCTGCCTTATCCGCTGCTGCTGCTGCTGCTGCTGCTGCTGCTGCTGCTTCTCCTGCATCTGTTTCACTCTCCTGCCATGCAGCCCTCCCGCCTCCAGCACCCACTGCCCGCCTCCCTGCCCGCCCCCCAGACCCCCTCCCTGCGCATCTCCCTGGGCGCCCCTAGCTTCCCCTGTCCCACCTCCCTCCCCTGTCTCCCCTGTCCCCTCAACAACCACTGCCACTGCTGCCTGTGCAGCAGCAGCACCGGCTGGTTCTCCACGTGCCGCTAAATCATCCTGCTCCACTTGCCCTACTGTCTCCTGCTGCTCCATTAATGCTCCTGCTGCTTCTCCTGCTCCTCCTGCTCCACCTTCCACTGCGGCTGCCGTTGGGATGACTGACGTTGGTGCTGCTCCTGCTGCTGTGGATACGGCTGCTGCTGTTGGCTGTGCGGGTGGCGTTGCTGCTGCTGCTGCTGCTGCTGCTGCTGCTGCCGCTGCCGCTGCTGGTTGTGCAGGTAGAACCTGCCTGATTACACCTGCACCGGAGGAAGCAGACGCGCCACCAACGCACTCAGCATTCCAAGCACCAGCGCACATGGCAGGGGCGTGGCTTGGCAGGGTAGGAGGAGGCAGCGGGGAGCGCCACAGGGTGAAGTCATGCGCGTGTGGCGAGAGAGAAAAGCCCAGCGGTCGCCCTGGGGTGAGGGAGAGACGTGAGCAGGGTGGGAGAAAGGGAGGGTACTCCAGAGGCATCCCAAAACACGGAGGTGGCAGGAGGCAGCAGGGCGGGCCAGAGAGTGTTGTCATGTGCATGCAGCAATGACCTTTGGGACGTCGCAACAGGGGTGCAACACAGTACAGTAACCGGAATACCAGGATACCGGGATACCGGGAAACCGAAAAACCGGGAAACCGAGAAACCGGGATACCAGGAAACCGGGAAACCGGGATACCGGGAAACCGGGAGAGTGGGATACCGGGATACCGGGATAGCGGGAAATAGGGTTGAGCAAAAAAACGAACACGTTCGAGGCGAACCGAACAGGTATTATTTTTTGGCTTAAATTGTTCGCCGAACAGTGTTCGATGTTCGCCCGAACACGTTCGTGTTCGGGCCGCTGCTAAAATTTGCCCGCGACGAACACGAACGTGTTCGAGGTTCGCCCGAACACGCCTTCACAGGCGAACGGCGAACACCATTTTTTGCTCAAAGTGTTCGCCGAACCGAACAGTGTTCGGTTCAGCAAACGAAGGTGTTCGTGTAGGGGCAACCACGAACGTGTTCGTGTTCGCCCCTTGCTCATCCCTAGCGGGAAACCGGGATACCGGAATACCGGGATACCGCGAAACCGGGATACCGGGATACCGGGATACCGGGAAACCGGGATACTGGGATACCGGGATACCGGGATACCGGGATACATGGATACCGGGAAACTGGGAAACAAAGATACCAGGATACCGGGATACCGGGATACCGGGAAACCGGGAAACCGGGAAACCGGGAAACCGGGATACCGGGAAACCGGGATTCCGGGAAACCGGGATACCGGGATACCGGGATACCGGGTAACCGGGATACCGGGAAACCGGGCAACCGGGATACCGGGATACCGGGATAACTGGATACCGGGATACCGGGAAACCGGGATACCGGGATACCGGGATACCGGGATAACTGGATACCGGGATACCGGGAAACCGGGATACCGAGATACCGGGATACCGGGAATACCCGGGATACCGGGAAACCGGGATACCAGGAAACCGGGAAACCGGGAATACCGGGAAACCGGGATACCGGGATACCGGGAAACCGGAATACCGGGATACCAGGAAACCGGGAAACCGGAATACCGGGATACCAGGAAACCGGGAAACCGGGAAACCGGGATACCGGGAAACCGGGATACCGGGAAACCGGGAAACCGGGATTCCGGGAAACCGGTATACCGGGAAACCGGGATACCGGGAAACAGGGAAACCGGGAAACCGGGAAACCGGTATACCGGGAAACCGGGATACCGGGATACCGGGAAACCGGGAATACCGGGATACCAGGAAACCGGGAAACCGGGAAACCGGGAAACCGGTATACCGGGAAACCGGGATACCGGGATACCGGTATATCGGGATACCGGGATACCGGGATACCAGGAAACCGGGAAACCGGGATACCGGGATACCGGGATACTGGGATACTGGGATACCGGGAAACCGGGAAACCGGGAAACCGGGAAACCGGGAAACCGGTATACCGGGAAACCGGGATACCGGGAAACCGGGAAACCGGGAAACCGGTATACCGGGAAACCGGGATACCGGGAAACCGGGAAACCGGGAAACCGGGAAACCGGTATACCGGGAAACCGGGATACCGGGATACCGGGAAACCGGGAATACCGGGATACCAGGAAACCGGGAAACCGGGAAACCGGGATACCGGGATACCTGGAAACCGGGATACCGGGAAACCGGGATACCGGGAAACCGGGATACTGGGATACCGGGATACCGGGATACCGGGAAAACCCGGGATACCGGGAAACCGGGATACCAGGAAACCGGGAAATCGGGAAACCGGGATACCGGGAAACCGGAATACCGGGATACCGGTATACCGGGATACCGGGAAACCTGGATACCGGGATACCGGGATACCTGGATACCGGGATACGGGGAAACCGGGATACCGAGATACCGGGATACCGGGAAAACCCGGGATACCGGGAAACCGGGATACCAGGAAACCGGGAAACCGGGAAACCGGGAAACCGGGATACCTGGATACCGGTATACCGGGAAACCGGGATACCGGGATACCGGGAAACCGGAATACCGGGATACCAGGAAACCGGGAAACCGGAATACCGGGATACCAGGAAACCGGGAAACCGGGAAACCGGGATACCGGGATACCTGGAAACCGGGATACCGGGAAACCGGGATACCGGGAAACCGGGATACCGGGAAACCGGGATACTGGGATACCGGGATACCGGGATACCAGGAAAACCCGGGATACCGGGAAACCGGGATACCAGGAAACCGGGAAACCGGGAAACCGGGATACCGGGAAACCGGGATACCGGGATACCGGTATACCGGGATACCGGGAAACCTGGATACCGGGATACCGGGATACCTGGATACCGGGATACCGGGAAACCGGGATACCGAGATACCGGGATACCGGGAAAACCCGGGATAACCGGGAAAACGGGATACCAGGAAACCGGGAAACCGGGAAACCGGGAAACCGGGATACCTGGATACCGGTATACCGGGAAACCGGGATACCGGGATACCGGGAAACCGGAATACCGGGATACCAGGAAACCGGGAAACCAGAATACCGGGATACCAGGAAACCGGGAAACCGGGAAACCGGGATACCGGGATACCTGGAAACCGGGATACCGGGAAACCGGGATACCGGGAAACCGGGATACTGGGATACCGGTATATCGGGATACCGGGATACCGGGATACCGGGAAACCGGGAAACCGGGATACCGGGATACCGGGATACCGGGATACCAGGATACCGGGAAACCGGGATACCGGGATACCGGGAAACCGGGTTACCGGGATACCGGGATACCGGGATACCGGGATACCGGGATACCGAGATACCGGGATACCGGGATACCGGGATACCGGGATACCGGGAAACCGGGAAACCGTGATACCGGGATACCGGAATACCTGGATAGCGGGATACCGGGAAACCGGGATACCGGGATACCGAGATACCGGGAAAACCCGGAATACCGGGAAACCAGGAAACCGGGAAACCGGGAAACCGGGAAACCGGGATACCGGGATACCGGGAAACCGGAATACCGGGATACCAGGAAACCGGGAAACCGGGATACCAAGATACCGGTATACCAGGAAACCGGGAAACCGGGATACCGTGATACCGGGATACCGGGAAACCGGGATACCGGGATACCGGGAAACCGGGATACCGGGATACCGGGAAACCGGGATACCGGGATACCTGGATACCGGGATACCGGGAAACCGGGATACCGAGATACCGGGATACCGGGAAAACCTGGGATAACCGGGAAACCGGGATACCAGGAAACCGGGAAACCGGGAAACCGGGATACCTGGATACCGGTATACCGGGAAACCGGGATACCGGGATACCGGGAAACCGGAATACCGGGATACCAGGAAACCGGGAAACCGGAATACCGGGATACCAGGAAACCGGGAAACCGGGAAACCGGGATACCGGGATACCTGGAAACCGGGATACCGGGAAACCGGGATACCGGGAAACCGGGATACTGGGATACCGGTATATCGGGATACCGGGATACCGGGATACCGGGAAACCGGGAAACCGGGATACCGGGATACCAGGAAACCGGGAAACCGGGATACCGGGATACCGGGATACCGGGATACCTGGAAACCGGGATACCGGGATACCGGGAAACCGGGAAACCGGGATACCGGGATACCGGGATACCGAGATACCGGGATACCGAGATACCGGAATACCGGGATACCTGGAAACCGGGAAACCGGGATACCAAGATACCGGTATACCAGGAAACCGGGAAACCGGGATACCGTGATACCGGGATACCGGGAAACCGGGATACCGGGATACCGGGAAACCGGGATACCGGGATACCGGGAAACCGGGTTACCGGGATACTGGGATACCGGGATACCGGGATACCGGGATACCGAGATACCGGGATACCGGGATACCGTGATACCGGGATACCGGAATACCTGGATACCGGGAAACCAGGAAACCGGGAAACCGGGAAACCGGGAAACCGGGATACCGGGATACCGGGATACCGGGATACCGGGATACCGGGAAACCGGAATACCGGGATACCAGGAAACCGGGAAACCGGGATACCAAGATACTGGTATACCAGGAAACCGGGAAACCGGGATACCGTGATACCGGGATACCGGGAAACCGGGATACCGGGATACCGGGAAACCGGGAAACTGGGAAACCGGGATACCGGGAAACCGGGATACCGGGGAACCGGGATACCGTGAAACTGGGATACCGGGAAACCAGGATAGTGGGATACCGGGAAACCTTGAAACCGGGAAACCGGGAAACTGGGATACCAGGAAACCGGGAAACCGGGATACCGGGGCGGATATAACCTTTAAGACGTTTCACCCTGTGTGCGACACCTGACAGCCACCAACTCACCAGTAATCTCCTCCCAGCGCATGCGCGAGTGGGGGGACACGGCAGAGAGGTCAGGGGCGGGGACGGGTGCAATGCCGTGGATGCAGAGGGGGTTGGCCAGCCCCTTGTAGCGCCGCCGCTGCAGGCGGTGTGATCGCGCGAAGCCAGCCTTCTCAGGGAAGGGGAAGCACGGCTCGTCCACCCTGTTGGTACATGGTGAGGGGGAGAGGGGGGAGGGGGAGCGCGTGGCATGTGTGATGAGAGTGATGAAGTGAAAGGGGGGGCAAGAGGCCTGCAGTGGGAGGCAACGCATGCGGTGGAGGGGGAGGTGCAAGCATACCTGGAGTTGCCGTTGATGAAGGAGCGCAGCTGCATCTTGCCCAGCGCATGCTCTGGCCGCACACTGAGCGCCCACATGTACGCATTCTCCACATCGTGCTGCACCATAAACGCCTCTTCGCCCCGCTGGTTGGGTGGGTATGGGTGAAGGGGGAGAGGGAGTAGGGCAGGCATGCAAGCACATAACGCCTCTCCTCCACTTGCTCTGGCCGCACACTGAGCGCCCACATGTACGCATTCTCCACATCGTGTTGCACCATAAACGCCTCTTCGCCCCGCTGGTTGGGTGGGTATGGGTGAAGGGGGAGAGGGAGTAGGGCAGGCATGCAAGCACATAACGCCTCTCCTCCACTTGCTCTGGCCGCACACTGAGAGCCCACATGTACGCATTCTCCACATCGTGTTGCACCATAAACGCCTCCTCGCCCCGCTGGTGGTGGATGGGAAGTGGGGGGTTATGGGTGGTGGAGGGGGAGAAGGATGGAGGGAGAGGGGAAGACAGTCGGGCGGGCACAGAGTCACACGACGTCTCTCCATGTGCTCAAGTCACACACTGAGCGCCCACATGCACGCATTCTCCACATCGTGTTGCACCATAAACGCCTCCTCTCCACGCTGGTGGTGGAAAGTGGTCAGGCGTAGGGGTGTGGGCGGTGGGGGGTGAGAAGGATGGAGGGAGGGAGGCAGTAGGGCGGGCATGCAGGCACATGAAGCCTCTCCGCATGATCCCAGCGCACACTGAGCGCCCACATGTATGCGTTCTCCACATGTGCTGCACCATGAACGCCTCCTCGCCCCGCTGGTGTCGGAAGGCGGTCAGGAGGAGGGAGGGGGGGGGGGTGGGCGGTGGAGGGTGAGAAGGATGGGGGGAGGCTAGGCAGTAGGGCGGGCATAGAGGCAAATGACGCCTCTCCACGTGCCCTGGCCACACATTTAGAGCCCACATGTATGCATTCTCCATGTCGCGCAGTGCTATAAACGCCTCCTCTCCACGCTGGTTCAGGAGGTTGCAGGGGGGAGGAATGGGGGAGGGGAGGGGACGAAGGTTGAACAGTCATGAGAGAGTGGAGTAAGGCGCAGGAGGAGCACGGGGCACGGGAGAGCGCACCGATTGGGAGAGGGTGGAGGCGTAGTAGTGAGAGAAGAAGAAGTGTGCGCCCCACACACGGTCCTCCCGTGCACTGTACCGCCTTGGGATGCCACTGCTGCTGCGGCCAACGGTGGCACTACCCGTGGGAGCAGCAGTTTCAGTAGGAGCGGCGGTAGCAGTGGGAGCAGCACGCAGCGCGCTCCCGCTGCCACCAGCGCAGTCAGTTAGGCCAATTGCAGCGCGGCATGTGTCCACGACCCTCACTGCCTCTGCCGTACATGCACGCACGTTCATAACAGCGCCTGCTTCTGTGCCCAGCTCCAGTGTTGCTGCCCTCCCTGCTTCTTGCCATGCACTGCTGCTCGAACCTCCCATGCCTTCCATGTCCACTATCCCCATCCCTGTCGCTGCCCTTGCTGCTGCTGCTGCTGCTGCTGCTGCTGCTGACTTTCCGCCTGTTGCTATAGTCCTTGCTGTCGCGGTAGTCTTAGCTGTTGCTGTTTCTGCTGGCGCTGTTGCTTCTGTTTCTTCTGCTGCTGGCGCTGTTGGTACTGTTGCTGTTTCTGCTGCTGGTGTTGGTGATGTTGTTCCTAATGTTGCTGCTGCTGCTGGTGCTGCAACTTCTGTTGCGTTTTCAGCTGCCGGGGCTGCTGCTGCTGCTGCTGATAAGGCGGTTTCCCCTGTTGGTGGTGGAGAAGGGCAGGGAGCAAGGGTTGCGATGGGCCGAGGCGGGTGGATGGAGGAAGGGCGTGGGTAAGGTGCAAGGCGTGGTGCTACTGGTTGCTGCCCGTAAGCAGTACCAGTGGCAGACGCAGTGTGTTGCGGCTGCTGTAGCCATAGCTGCTGCTGGTTGGGCTGCTGCTGCTTGTGCTGCTGCTGTGGCTGCTGTTGCACTTGCTCTGGCTGCTGCTGCTGCTGCTGCTGCTGCTGCTGCTGCTGCTGCTGCTGCTGCTGCTGCTGCTGCTGCTGCTGCTGCTGCTGCTGCTGCTGCTGCTGCTGCTGCTGTTGCTGCTGCTGCTCCCGCGGCTGCTGCTGCTGGCCGCACTTTCCTGGCGGCACCATGTGGCACGTGCTGGTGGCGTGCGTGCACGCGGAGCTGCTCCCACCCACTCCCGCACCAGCTCCTGTGGCCGACCCACTCTCCCTGAAACCACCAAATCTGGAGGGTACAGTGGGCCTGGAGGCTATAGCTCCTCTGGTGTTTGCATTCAGTGCAGCAGGAGGGGCAGGAGCAGTAGCAGCGGTGGACGGTGGGTGGCTGTCAAGGCTGAAGATCAGCCTCGGTGCAAACCGGGTTGCCGGGGCACCAACCGGAGCTATCTCAATGTCCAGGTTCGGCGCCGGACCTACATCCCACCAGAGGGCCATTCCGCCAACATCCCCGCCCCCATCTCCCCCACCATCTCCGCCAGTATCCCCGCCAGCATCAGCGCCTGCTTCTTGCCCGCCCCCCTCCTCTGATAATCCTTGCTCCGCCTGCTGCTCCCGCCTGTTCTCCCCTTCCTCCCCCCCTGCGCCCTCCGCGGACCCACTCTCCGCGTTCTCCCCTCCCGCGCCCTGCTGGAAAGCCCTCAGAATCGCCAGCTCGCCGTTTCCGCCAAGCTCGCCAGCCCTATCGCGCTCTTCCATCCCGCGCTGCTCCCCCTCTGCGCCACCCACGTTGTTGCTGCTATTCCCCCTCCCACCACTCCCGAAGTCCCGCGCATCCCCACCAACGCCGCTCTCCCCACCAACCGCGCCATTGATTCCAGCTGCAACACCAGCAGCAGCAACAGCGTCAGCCGCAGCAGCAGGAGCAGGAGAATTCGCGGCCGCCGCTGCAGCCACGTCAGCGTCATCAGTGGGATGAGCGGGACGAGCGGCACCAGCGGGATGCGCGGCATTGGCGGGGAGGGAGACAGCAACGGGGTGGTGCGCGGGGGAGGCGGCGTCGAGATCGAGGTCGAGGCACATGGACATGGACATGGACATGGGGAGGGGGAGAGGCAGGTTGATGTCCGGCGGATGCAGGTCGTACGGCAGCCGGATCATGCGCGTCGCAGCGTCGCACGGCGCGTCGCACGGAGCGTCGAAGTTCATGTTGGGGGTTTGGAGGTCGAACGCGCCTCTAGACGGAGGGCTGGATGTGTTCTCGCCGTAGTTATCAGTGTTATCATGGTTGCTGTTGCTGCTGTTATTGTTCTCTGTTACTGGCGGCTCTAACGGAATCCGTCCGCATTGGCGCGCGCTGGAAACGGGAAACTCGAGCTGGTTTTCGGACAGAAACGGCGCGGCGTTGTGGGACTGGAAAGACGACGCGGACTGCACGTTAAACGCGAGGGAGTACGGATTTCCGCCAAGGAAGGGAGCCGCGTGCGGGGTCTGAAGGGTGGGGCACGCTTGAAGGTTAGGGAAAGCTTGAAGAGTAGGGCACGGTTGGAGAGTGGGGTAGGAGTGGCGGATATCGAAGGAAAGGCCGCCTGGGAGGTTCTGCGAGCACGCGTCGAAATTCATGTCGAGGATTTGCAGGTCGAACGCGTTCCGAACGGAATCCTGGTCCTGGCATGCTCCCTCCCGCCCCTGCCCGTGGCTCTGAGCCTGCTGCCCCTGTGCCTCGCCCGCCTCCTGCTGCTCCAACTCCCACTCGAGGTGCATGTCGCGTGAAGGAAGGAGAGCAAGACTAGCGCATTAATGGCTGAAATGGTGGGGGAGGCGAGCTACAGTCGAAAGTGGCAGCATGGTATATCTCAACGCCCCGACTACATCCGGGTGCAAAAACGACGCGGCTCGGGAAAGGGATCCGCCACCCTGCGTCATCCTGTCCGGCTAACTGAGTGCACGTCCTGGGCGAGGAGCGTCACCCTGCGTCGCCCGGCAATCCCGATGAAAAATACCCCGATAGCACCTCTCAACGGACCCTCCGTACGAGGTCGATACCTCCACGACGCCGGTCGCGGTCAGCGTGCCACGACGTCCACCTAGCCATCGGCGCGGACTGCGACGTGAGGCCCACCGCGATTTCTGGCCGGCCACTGCGCTGGCGCGCAGAGCCACACGTCGCCCATCCGAAACACAACATTCCACGCGGCGAACATCGATCGGCAAACGTCTGTCCACGCGGCGATCAAGCCTTCGCCGGCCTGCTGGCGGGAACGTCCCCGCGGGATACCATCGTCGGGCGACGCCATGAGCACTGCTGCGTCACGCCGACGTGTAAGCACGGTTCACCGTGACGGGAACACCGGACGGTCGGCTGCGTAAAAGACATGAGTGCCCCGTGCAACGTCGACCATTGCGCCGCCGTGCCGTTCTGCCTTGCATGCAGAGTTGGAGACATGCCCACGGATCGCCCGCCAACACCTGTCCGCCCGAACCGCGACTGTGCCTCTCTATGCTATGACCCCCTGACGGCCAAGTGTCCATGGCATTTCGACACTTGTTTGTTGCGTTGCATTCATTTCCATTCTGGTGGGCCACATTTCCCTTGCTCATTTTCACGCTTCTCGGAGACCGACCGACCACGCGCGGTGCAGGGTCGACGACGAGCCACGCCGGTGTAGAGTGCGTTTAGGTCGGCAAACTTTACGGGCTTCCGACTTAGGATCATTCCGACTAGGACGACTGACTAGGTCGACAACAACCGAAAGTCGCCGACCTCTTTCTTCAAACCCACAACCAGTATTGTCATCGCCGGTGATCCCCCGTGCGGGCTCCAATGGTCAGGGACCAGTCTAACAACATCCCGCCGGACAACACCCCGCCGAACGATACATTGCCACTTCACACCCCGCCGACCATTGTGCCGCCGACCACGGCCACTCCGAACATCACCCAGCAGAACACCAATCCGCCGCCCTTACTTCCCGAAATTCCCGAACTGACCGACATTGCCGCGGAGTTGACGATCGCCGAGAACGTTGAGAGGGCCGAAAGACGGGCGGCCTTTAGGGCCACGGTGCGAAGGCAATACACGGCAGCGATTGTGCAGTATCGACTTTGGTGGGCTGAGCACGTACCGCAGCGAGATCGCGGCGACAACTAAAGGCCGACGGGAACAACTCTACCCGCCGAGATGGCTGGCGTCGCGCCGCCGGCGGGGAGCAGCGCGATTCCCGACCTGAACGAGCCTTTCATGGAGGAAGATGTAGACACCGCTAGGGCAAATATTCCCGCCGACATGGTGGTCGACGTAGACGCCGCTAGGGCAAAAATTCCCGCCGACCCGACCATCCCCCTACCGCCAGGGACGAAAGGGGCTCCCGAACCCGGGCCGGACCGGTACTCGCCGCGTTCGGACACGGAGCAGCCGCCGCCAATTGGACCATTTCCAGAAAACGACTACATGTATCTGACCGTAGAGGACTTGTTGGCAGCCGACGAGAAAGATGACGCCTTCCTGCAAAACATTCCGCGCGACGATTTTGCGGAAGCCGCCTTCGACATCAACAAAGAGCTCGCCAAGAAGAACAGATTGCTGAGGATGATGTGGGGTTTCCGGCATCTCGACACGCTGGAGGCGAGAACGACCCGGATTCAGTACCTGCGGGCGCTGCTCGACTTCAGGAGATGGTGCTGCGCGAACCTTCCAAGACAGCAAACCGCCAGAGTCAAGGGGGACGGCGTGCTGGAACACGAGGACGAGATAGGGAGGTACATCGACGAAGACATGGGTGATAAGTGGCACACCGCCAAGGGCGACCTACAATGGATGCACGGTCCCCGCGTCAACGCCACGCGGATCAGGGCGTACATTCTGTCAATCGCGAGGCAGTAAGGTATTGCAAAGGCCGAGGAGCTCGAGGAGCTGAATCCCGACGTCCGTGTCCAGCCCCTGAAGCCGACAACCGTTTCGATGCTGCTCATCCGCATCAAAGCGCTCCAGACGGCCTGCAAGGTCGAGGGGACGCTCTTCGGGGTGAAGGAGCTCCACATCATGTACGACATCTCCGAGGTCCGCTCGGAGGTGCGCGCGATGGTCAGAGAGAAGTGGCACAGGGACGACAGGTAAGTCGGCAAGTCGTCCCGCGCCTGTTTCCCGGTTCGCCCAGCTAACCCAGTCCTCGTGGAAACTGATGTGCAGGGATTGCGTCGACCGGCACCGCGGAACGCTCGGCGACACGTACACCACCGACCAGATCCGCCACCTCATGTTCAAGGTCTTGCCGACCTGGGCAGCTCGGGCGTACGAACCCAAAGCGGCCACCCCCTCCCAGACACTGTGGAAGTTTCTGCTGATGAAGACGATGACCCTCTTGGGTCACCACACCCTTCTCCGCGGAGCCAGTCTCCGAGCGATCGAGCTCCCCGACCTGTTTTTGTACAGAATGGGGAGCGCGTCGCCCGAGCACTCCACTCGACGGCCGGTTGTCATGGTTGTCGCGTCACGAAACTCCAAGACGAACAAGGATGCTCGTCTGCATCACAGCTACGCGGCGAGACACCTGGACCAAGAGATGTGCGCCGTCGGTCACACACTGTTGTGGCTGCACTTCGTGTACGACCAGCTCAGCCGATCGCCCACTTCTCGATGTGTGCCGCCCCTCGACTTCATGACTCCGTACAGCTGGTATCACAAGCACCTCTTTCATGCTCGGAACGACAAGGAACAAAAAGAGCTGCCGGCGTCATCTCATTCTCGGATCACGAAAGAGATGTGGCGGACGAACAACATCTTCATCACGCGCAACACCCACGCCGCCCGGGCGGGTGGGGCACAGGAGCTGGCCGACGACGGCGTTCCGCGATCTGACATCGCCGACTTGGGCCACTGGGCGCTCGACAAGCTCGCGAAGAGCTACATCACGACCATCCCGAAGGCGGCGGTGTTGAGAAAGGCCGGCTACACGGGCAAGCGCGGCGACTACCACCTCGGCCGGAGCATGGTGAAGCCCGACGACAAGGTGGTGGCCCTCATCGCCCAGCACATCTTTCCGTGGGCTGAAGCGGAACTGGCCAAGGTGAGCATTTCGGACGGCAATAACGCCGACAACCCGCCGACCATTTCCACGACGACATTATACCGACGGCTGATTGTGTTTGTGTTTGTGTTCGACTCGCAGGCGGTAAAATGCGCATCCGCGAGAGAGCCCAACACGGCCGGGGTGCACTTCCTGCAATCGCTCATCGAGTTCGGCCGCCGAATCGTCGCCGAGGATCTTGCGTGCATGCTGATGCGCGAACCGTGGCACCCGTACGTCCAGAGTTCCAAGCTCTGCCGCGACCCCGACTTCCAAAAATGGGCCAAGGACGTCAACCGGGTGGACCTCGAAACCATCGCGACGCGCAGTACTCCGAGCGAGAACCCCCAAGAGGTACGGCGTGCGCGTTCCGGCGACCTGCAAAACAAGTCGTCCTGCAACATTGGCTCACCTTTTGCCGACCATCCCCCTTGGATCGCAGGAATTCAGCGCGCGAATCGACGCCGAATATCAGGTCGACCAGCTCACCATGATGCTGCACCGCCAGAGGGAGGATGCCGCGATCGAGAAGCTTGAGATGCAGAAGAAGTTGGAGGAGAAGGACGCGGAGATCGCGAAGTTGATGTAGGCTCTCAAGCTGGCCGAGGCACGGCCGACGCCGTCTGCGCCCGACCCGTCAAGGCCGATGACGGCCGCCGAGAAGGCAGCGTCCGTCAAGATCGAGAAGGAACAGGAGGATGACCTGACGTACGAGGTCAACGTCGTGCATCCCTGGCGCACATCCAAGACGGTCGAGGCTGCATGGCGCTGGTGGAACAACCCGTCCAACTTCGACTCGCGTCCGTTGCGCGAACGTTTCGACGAGCACAGATTCCTCGTCAGACACACGCGCATGATCTGCAAGGTCGAAAAGGGCGCCAAACCCGCCGCGTCGGCGAAGTCGGCGAAGAGCTCTAGTCCCACGACCGAGGTGGGTGAGACGGGGAAAAACGATGCGCTGCAGCACTGCACTCGCCGGATGAGGCGGATCATGGAAGCGGTGCACGACTTGCGGCGGAGCGACGACGCCGCTGACACCGCCGCCGTCATTAAGCTACTCGACCACCTGGGGCAAGCGGGGCTTTCCACTTTCAGCGACGCGCTCTTGGTCCTCCGTGCAACCCCGCCCATCAAGGTCCCCACCACAGCCGACGGAAAGTCGGTCGGCATCAAGGGTCTGGACAAGCCGCTGGCGAGGAAGCTCGCCGTTGCGTGGGGCGTGGTCACGGCGGGCTACATGGACGCTGACTGGGGAAAGACGCTCTTCGGCGACTTGTGGGATGAGCAGGCCAATAAGGCCGGCTTGGAGGCCGAGGCGACGGTGGGAGCCATCGGCGCAGGGAAGCGCAAGAGGGCGGGCTGAGGGTACTGCGTCTGGGTCCGACTTGTGCTGCTGGCTGAGCGTGGTGTGACTGAGGCCGGGCTGAGGGCGGGCTGAGGGTGGGCTGGGGATGTGCTGAGCGTGTCCGACCTGTTCTAGTGACTCTATATGGTTTTCTTTTACTGGCAACTTTGTTTCGACTTGTAAATTAGTTGAAGTTTGTCCGTTGTTCATGCATCAAACCGACTCCACACCACAAAACCTACGTCACAACGTTTCTGAAAAACTACCGACGAACAAGCTCAGCATCACTAAGCCGGAGAGGCACAACAAAACAACAAAACAACGGTCAACAAGCCTGCAGCGTTTGCACCCACGCCGACCATGCTACGAGCAGGCGGGCCAGCCTTCGTCGACCTAGGCGTCGGCAACCTGCTTCCCTTTGTGCTGCTGCCCCCTCGCCCCCCTGTCCCGAATGATAACCTTCATCTGGGGGTCGATAGGCAAATCGACGCCGCGAGCCTTGAGCTTCGGGCCTCCGACATTGCAGTCCCCCCAGAAGGCGAGGTTCTCTATCATGACACGGGCGATCAGCTCGTCGTGCTCGCGCTCCTCTCCGACCTCAGGCAGCGACCTCAGCACAGCCGCCTGCAGGTCCTTCGTCACCGTTTCGGCGACCTCCCCTACGACGACCTCCCGGGAGGCCGCCCGCTTAAGCACCGCCTCGATGACGGTCCGGCACCGACTCGCGAACTCGTTGGACGCTCCGCGCACGGTCGCTGCCGCCCCCCCTTCGCCGGCCGCTACTTCCGCCGTGGCATTGGTCTCCGAAAAACACCACACCGCGGCCGCAGTACCGGCGAGGATCTCGGACAACCGCTCCGACCCGACGCCCGGAATGGGCAACACTTTCGCGGCCACCGGTGCGAAGGCGGCACACATCGAAACGCGTGCGATCATGTCGCTCGCCACCTTCTTCTTCGCGGCCTTCTCGGGCTCGGTCGACTCCGGAAGGTCGCCGAACCACACCGCCGGGCGAAGAGCCAACATGAGAGCTGCGCGGTCGGCTCCGGTTATCCTGTTGTATTCCGCGACCACCTGTTGGAACCTGCGAAACACAGCAGGAATACCCACCGTCACCGACCGGCCCACGCGTACCGACCGAAACGAGCACCAAATTGAGCATTCGCCAAGCTTACCTGTCGCGGAAGACGTTCGCCCCTCGGCTCCACATGACCATCCACATGCCCCCCGGAATCAATCGCGCCACATTCCAGTCCGCCTTATACTGCGCCATCACTTCCTCCTTGACCCCACCGAACTCGTCGAGAACCACGTCGCTGACGAAGCCGTCGAACGACGAAACGGCGACAGCGATGCAGTAGGCGGCCTCGGACTTGTCCATCGACCGGCAGATGTAACGGCTCTTTTTCCCTAACTTCATCTCCGAGACGGCCAGCCCAGTTGAAGGGTCAACGCGGACGCCTGAACCCTTCCGACCCTGCGCGGCCGCTTTGGACGTCCCCTTGGAAGAGCCGACCTTCGGCGGGCCGCCCTTCGCCTTGTCCTTGCCCTTGCGCCTCTGCTTCCCATCGCCGACCTCACCGGTTGTGGCCGGGGGAGATTTGGCGCCAGCCGCGCTATGGTCCTCCGCAGGAGCAGTCAAGGCGGCTGGTGCACCCTGTTGCGCTCCCACGGTGGGAGCTGCTGCTTGTAGTTTCTCCCGCATGACCTCGATTTCCGGGTCCGGCATCACGATGCTGGCGAGGATCTCTTCGTCCACCCCGCCGGCCTCTTCCGCCGCTCTCCACACAGCCGCCTCCACCGTTGACCCACTCGGCCCTGCAGTCGCCGCCGCGACGTTCGCTGCCTCTGCTCCTTGGTCGACCACCTGGTTGCTGTGAGTCGGAGGAATTACCGGGGTTTTGTGACCCTGATCCTCGAGCCATTTCAGATACTCGTCGTACGATGGCTTTTGAGTGATTAGGGCCTCGACCGCCCGAGACTCAACAGCCGTTGGGATCGGGATGGGTTCCGCGGCGACCATGGCCCCATGAACGGGTAAGCTGGCCGCACCGGCAGCCTGCTGGACATGCTGTCCGACCACCGCTGCTGGGCGCAACAGCTCGTCGACCAGCGCCGTGACACCACCCGGTCGCGCGTCACGTGTAGTGGCAGGACTCGTCGCGGTGTGCGGATGCTGGCCCGCCGCGGCCTGCTGGACATGCTGTCCGACCACGGATGCTGGGCGCAAGAGCTCGTCGGCCAGCGCCGTGGCGCCAGCCGAACGCGCGTCCCGTGCAGTCGCCGGACTCGTCGCGGTGGGGGTATGCTGGCCCGTACCTGGCGGCCCGCCCTGCTGTCCGACCACCGCTGCTGGGCGCAAGAGCTCGTCGACCAGCGCCGTGACGCCAGCCGGACGCGCGTCTTGTGCGGTCGGCGTGCTCGTCGACGGGTGAAGATGCTGGCCCGCACCGGCCGGCCCGCCCTGCTGTCCGACCACCGCTGCGGGGCGCAGGAGGTCGTCGGGCAGCTGCGCTGTGACGCCGGTCGGTCGCGCAGTCGGCGTACTCGTCGAGGGTTGAACATGCTGGACCGCAACGGGCTCCCTGCGCGCCTGGCCGACCACCGCTGCGACGTGCATGTCGTCTGCCGTCTGGGCCGTGCCACCGCTCGGTCGAGCGCCTTGTGCAGTCGCCGGACCCATGAGCTCGTCGGCCAGACTCACCTGCTCGCAGCTCGGTGGCGCGTCGTGTGCGCTCGGCGGATCGGTCGGGGCCTGTGGCTGCTTGTCCCCCACGGGCTGCCCACCGGTCTTCCCGACCACCGACTGAGGATCCTCGAGCGCGACGTCGACCTGTCGAAAATGTTCGCTCGGTCGCGCGCCAAGTCCATCTTTCAGCAAGTCGTGGACGCCGGGGATACGAACATACGGAGGGGCAGGAGGATCCACGCCCACACCGCGTTTCACCGCAGGTCCTCTGCTTCGCTTAGAGCCGCTGGTCTGGTCGCCGGTCAGGGATTTTTCGTCGGCGACCCTTTTCCCCGACTGCCTTGGGGCCGGCCCACTCTCCTCGGCGGTTGCGCGACCGCCGTGCATCACCGACGCGAAAGCAGTTGGGAGGAGGCTAAACCCGGCGGTGCCAATGCCCTGTTGGGTCGCGGAGGTGACCGCCTTCACCAGGTCGTCCCTAAGCTCTTGGACGACCTTCGCAGTCACGGCAGCGGCGATCCGCTGCGCCTCGCCCTCCATGGCGGCCTTCACCTCGGCAGACACGACTGTTTTGATGTTCTGGCCGAGAGAATCTGCCACACCTCGAAGCAGCAGGAGGTCGTCCTCCCGTCGCCTACCCTGTGCAGCAGTAGCCGTCAAGTGCAGGGCCTGCACGGTGGGCAGCCACTGCGTGTTCATGAATTCGAGGGTGGAGCCGCGATAGCTCACCGCCTCCTGCACGACCGCCCTCACAGCGTCCACCGCCAGCTGGATGCTCCTCCCCGACGTCTGCTCGAGATGGGTCACGCCCTCGGCGACTGTAGTGAGCTTGTTCACGGCCGAGGTGACCACGCCGTAAATCGTGTCATTCCGGGCCGTTTGGAACTCCAGCCTCTTTTCCGCCACCAGCTTCTCCTCCCTCAGCTTCTTGATCTCCCTCTCCGCCGCCTTCAGACGCTCGATAGCCGCCTTTGACGCCATCCTAGGCGGGGTCGAGCCACTGCTGCCCCGGGCCTTCTTGCCCAACTTGGGTCCGCTGCCGCCGCCCATATCCGCAACCTTCTCACCGGCGAACTGCACTGCCTCCTCTTCGCCGGTGACAACCACGTCGTCCTCCTCACGCTCCACGTCCTCCTCCTCTTCTTCCGAGCCACCGTCGTGCTCCCCGCCCCCCTCAACGTCCTCCCTCTCGTGCTCCTCCTCCCCACCCATAGCGATGCCGGTTTCGACGCCACGGGCCACGGTCGACGCCGCCTCCCCTCTGTTCGACGCGGCCTTCTCCGCGTGGTGCAGCAGCTCCAGTCGGAGCGCCTTCAAGCCGACCATCTTCGGGTTCTCGACGATGAGCGGATCGTAGCTGCGAAACACGTCGTCGAGATGCTCCAAAGACCACGCGAACGCGTTGACCGCCAACAGCCCCGAGCCGGCGACCTCCTCCTTGAGGATGTCGGGCAATTTCTGCATCAACATCCGAAGCACATGGCGACGACGAAAAGGGTGAGTCGACGCCTCGACGACGATAGCCCAGGCGACAAGGCGACATGGACGTTGGAAACTCACATCACGGATGGGGGCGGCAAGACTCTCCAGACGTTCGGAGAGGATTTCGGCGGAAGGAGGCGCAGCCGTCCACTGCCTTCCCTCACGGTTCAACTCCGCCTTCGCGCACTCGGCGAAAAACCTGCGCTACGAGAAGGGAAAGAGCCATCAGACAAGGCGGCATGAACGCCGTTAAAGAGCGGCGCGACTAGCCGTCGACGTTGTCCCACCTCATAACGTTGGCCGCCTCCTCCTCGTGCCGCTTGGAGGAGGTCTTGGGGTCGAGGTGGCGGTAGAACGTCCCGATCTCCTCCTCGTCGGGCAAAAGCAGGTCGCCAGGGCGCACAACAAGCAGGACGCTGCAGTGCCTGCCGGGAAGAGGTCCGCCCCTGCCCACACAAGCACGACGGAGACATTCAGGGTTCTGTACAGGAACAACAAGCAACTCGGTCGGCGTGGATCAAACCTCGCGGGCGCGGAACACTCACCCGGTGCACAGGGGGATGGCGAGGGCTTCGAAGCCGAAGGCCGACCCGAAAACCAGATAGTCCGCCTTCGACGCCGTCCTGGCGGCGCGAAGACTCGCACCGCGGATCAGGATCATGCTGTCGCCTTTTCCCAGACGATCGAGCTCGTACCTGGGACAAGCGGGGGCGAAAAGGCGGGAGCGAAACACTTGCGCGGTGAGCTACAATCCATGCCGGACGAAGGTAAAGCACGACGGCGATGTCGCCGGAAGCATGACGGACGTCACCGACGTAGGGCCAATGGTCGACTAGTTGATAAGACGACGCAGCTAAAACGTCCATCGCGGATGGACATCGTCGACCACACGGGAAATCGACAAGGCCAACGTCGACCTAGAAAGGACGCCGACGAAAACGCGCTGAACCCTAAACAACTGACAGCGCGACCTAGGGATGCGCGCTCACGCGAGGCCGAGGTCGAAGCAAGGTTCTGTGAACTCGGCCTTCTCGTCGCGAAGGGCTTCGTAGTCCTTCATCTCAAGCGTCACCCCGTACCCACCGACGCCCACTGGCACGTGGAGGGGGAATTCAGTCGCAGGTAGTGCTATCCTACTGGTCGCCATGCTAACACCACGGTCGGTATCACGGAAGGTTTGGGGAGGAGCGCGGAGAGCTGACAGGGAGGCAGAGGAAATCGGAAAGCGAAGGTGGAAAGGAGAAATGAGGGATGGAGTGGGACCCCCCATCAAGAAATGGGTCGGTCGCCTAGTATGCAGCTCGGCGGACGAGGCAGGTCGTCGTGGCCGAGGGCGAGCCTCTGGCTTCGGCCCGTACCGGGCATGCCCTCGAGGGCGGGGTTCGGAGGGGCGGAGGTGGGTGGTTTGTGTGGGCCGTGCGTGGGGGTGGTCGGGGTGGCGAGGGCGAGCCACGTGTCCCCTCCCGAGGGGCCAGCGATGTTGACGAGGGTGGGGTCGGGCCCTTTGAATTTCGCAACCAACCCGCCTGCCCGGCGAGGGCAGCCCGAGAGGGTTACTAGGGCCTCGCGGGCAACGCGAAGCGAATGTCCGCCTCCGTGAAGGGGTAACTAGGCCCCTCGTCGCTCACGCGCGAGTTCGCCACCCGTCGGCTGCAACGTGGGGTTCTGTAGGAATTCGGGGTGGGGGGCCGGGGCGGGGGTCGTGGGCAGAGCCCCGCCCCGCGCCAACCTGGCGGGGGACTCACGCGAGGGAGTTGGCCGCCCTGACGCTCGGTCGACCGTCACCCCCCTGCGTCGTCCCAGGCAAAAGGGGTGCGTCACCCTCAATTCCGATGAGCGATTCAGAATGGAAGCGGAGCGTGGAGGAAGTGCGAGATTTAACGACGAGAGCGACGGGTTGTCGTCGCGAGCAATAGCTTCATCATGGCTCACGACTGATGCGGTTGCCGCGGAGGGGTCAGCAATTTGTGATTTGTGAAGGGTCTGTATGGCCTGGGCTGAGATGGAGCTACTCATGCTATGGATTTATCCGCGATAAAACGTCAATCCGACTGGAGTTGTTCCAAGAATATACTTACGTGATTATTGAAGACGTATACATATATATATAAGAGCTCCTCTGGTCCATATCAGGGAGTTCATGCAGCCATACCTGCCAGCAGGCAACTACCGTCAACACACACAAAATAGTCATATAGGGGCAAAACTATAGAAACACCTTTCGAAAGTGCCAAAACTCTTGAAAGTCTGAAACCTTATGTTAGGGCAGTCTGCATGTTGCAAAGCTGCTGCAGGCCACCAGTCTTGCGCGTGTTAGGGGACTGAAGATGTCTTTATGCAGCCGTGGATTGACCCTATCAGACACCTGAAGTATCCCATACGACACCTGCGGTCCTCGTACAAAATCAGGTATGCACAGCAATGTACACATCCTATCCCATCCCCAAAAAACAGCCCCACCCCCTCCCCAGGCAGCCCCCTTTCCTCCCCACTCCCTGCCCCCACCCCTCAACCTCCTGGTCACCCTTGTAGGTACATCTTCCCCATCCCACTGCACCCCCACACCCCCCCACCCCCCCCACCCCACCACCACCCTATGCATGCTTTTTTGGTGCTGCGGCTGTGCCTGTCCGCTTTCCCTTGCCCAAATGTGCCGACAGACACTCAGCTGGAAGCACCCTGAGGTTGTGGAAAGCAGTGTCTGCTGCCTGGCATAGGGACGGGTGGGCAGGCAGAAGCAGATGAAGGGAGATGTAGGGTTGCAGATGTAGGGAGGAGAGGACTCGGTGCAGAATGGCTGGACACCGGAGCAGGTGAAAAAACGGTGTAAGATAACAGCAAGACAGTGCAGAGATCAAACTGGGTAGACACATCGTGCAGTCAGCTCAAGATACACGTAGGCACGTGTTAGACTCACCTTCTGTACATTTTGGTCCGCGAAACGCAGACGGCACCCTTCTGACCCCTTCTCTGCTGCACTCTCCACAGGATTGCTGGCCAGCGTGCTGCCAGCAACCACGCCCATGCTGCTGCCAGCACCCGTATCCTGCATGCCTGCTTCATTCCCTGGAAGGGATCCCCCAGTGACTGCTGCACTGTGAGCCGCCTGAGAGGGACTGGCTGCAGGAGGGGGATGAGCAGCCTCGGCTGCTGTCACCTCCCTCTCATCACACAAGCCCTTATCCGCCTCCATGCCACCTGACCTCTCCACATTCTCCCTGCCCTTTGGTGTCTTTTCCCCGCCTTCTGATGCTCCCTCGGCCCCCTTTGGTGCCTTCTCGCAGCCCTCTGGTGACCCCTCAGCGTCTGCCATAATGGGATATCCCTTGTCTGCCGCACCCACTTCTGCCGTCCTCCCTGCACCACCGTCCTCCTCCTGCTCTCCACTGCTCGCCGTGCTTCCTTTCAGTGCAAGGGTTGCCTTGTGCCGCGCCACCATCATGGCCACAATCCAGTCAAACACCTGCACGTGGAAGAAAAAACAGAATAACACACAAGAAATCATACACATTGAGCGCGTACCAATGTCACTTACCGAGCCGAGCACAGCACACAAAATAAACCAGGCAACATGAGAGCGCATTCAGCCTGACTGACCTGAGCAAGGCGGTAGCGGGGGTGCTCCAGGGCGTTTTGAGGGCCATACCGCCCTGTGCCCTGGCACTCCGGACAGAACACCTCAGTCAGCGGCAACAGCTTTACTCCCTCCAGCGCCTCTGCGCCCTCAGGAGCAGCTGGCGTTGCTGGCACTGCTGTTCCTCCTGTTCCTACTGACACTGCTGCCTCTGATTCTGCCCCTTTGCCTGGCACGCCCTTGCTGGCAGCTCCAGCTGCTCCAGACGCTGCTACAGGCGCTGATGCCGGCACTGCTGAGGGCACGCCTCTCTTCGCCTTGCCTGGCTGCTGTGCCACGGTGTCAGCTGAGCTGCGCTTGCCCAGAAGATGTGACATAGCAGATGCAGAGGCAGGAGGAGCAGGAGGTGGAGCCATCAGGGACGCAGCAGCCGACGCAGCAGCTGTTGCCACGATGGCCACCACTGCTGCATCTTCACTGGACACTGGCCCTGCGAGAGTCAAGGACGCACAAATGTCAGTACACTGCTGTATATTCATGTATAACAGCATAGCAGTAACTGCTGAAATGAGAAAAGCTGGAAGTTATCAGAAGGGGAAAGAGTACCTGTGGCAGCAGCAGCAGCCAGGGCAGAGGTTGCAACAGCAGCAGCGGTGGCAGAGGAGTGAATTGCGTCTGGGATGCCAGCCCACGCCCACGCGTCGGAATGATTCTCGTCACTGCTAGCACTGCTGCCATCAGCATCCCCACCCGGCCCCACACGCTCAGCCCCATTAGACTGAGGAGCATCTCCAGGCTGGTTATTCGCATTCGCTTCAGCAGCAGCACTGGCAGACACAGGAGCACTACCGCCAGCCTCAGCAGCAGTAGCAGCAGCTGCTGCAGCCCCTGTGACTCTGCCAGCAGCAGCAGCGGCAGCAGGTGTGGCAGCGCCACTGGCCTGGCGGCTTGGCCCCAGGGACGGCGCGTGTGCCTTTTGGTGGCGGTGCATGGAGGAGAGGAGGTGCGCCACGTCAGCCTCGAGCGGGCAGCAGAGGGCGGGCGGCACACTGGTGCTGGCGACCGCAGAGCAGAAGACCACCCAGTCCGCTATGCAGTGCGAGTGGAATATGTGGAACTTCTGCTCGCAAACACAGGAGGTTTCGGACAAAATGCAGACGAAGATTATAATATGGAAGCAGAAAGGGTAAAGGGAAACTGGAAAGGACGAAGCTGGAGGTAGGGGAAATATGGGTGCGTATCACCTTGTGTCGGTTCCTGCTGCTGCAGGCAAATTGTTTCAAGCGTGCATTCCACAGGGCTCCAACCACCTGCCCTTCCATCATGGGCAGCTGGCACAGAAAGCACACTCTCGTTGCAGATGCCCCTGCACCAGCTCCCAGAGTTCCTTTCCGTCTCTTAGCTGGCACTGCAGCCGGTGCTGTGGCATCTCCAGAGGCGTCAACCCCTGCTGCTGCTTCTGGCACTGGAACCGCAGGTGCAGCTGCATTCTCAGTCGCTTCGTCTTCAGTTCTACCAGCAACCGCCTCATGCAGCTCAGGCGCGGGAGTAGAGTCGTCGGCAGTGCGAGCTCCACGTGCTTCTTCCACATCCGCATTAACTTCAATTGGCTCTTCTGTGCACTGTGGCTCAGCACCAGACGTGCCTTTCAGTTCTTTCTCTTTGTTACCATCATCGTCATCTCGTGGAACATCCTTGTCGCTGGCCTCTTCCGGTTGCTTCTTGAGCTCCCCTGGATGCTCGGCGGGGACATCTGCCAGCAGTGGTAGCTCCTCCTTCTGACTGTGCTTCTCACCAGGACCGCCATCGGACCACTTCAACAGCTGCTTCTCCCACTTCCCTCGGCGACCAATCAGGTTCGTGAACTTGAACAATGCCAGGGCGAAGTCCTCAGGTCGGCTTGGCTCATCCGATTCTTCTTCTGCTGCTGTTTCTGGAACAACGTCACGTGCATCCGCCTCACCGTCCGGTGTGACTGCAACATCTTGACCATTGGCTTTTCTCTGGCGCTTGGAGCCGCCAGCAGCAGACTTAGAGGCATCACTCGTATGAGGCGCTTTACGCTTGGAGGAAGGAGACACGGCGGAGTTTTTCCCTGCAGCAGCAGAGAAGGGCAAACTTCAAGTTGCGAGAAGGTTCAACCGGCAGAAAACATGTGGGTTACATGAAGCCGTCGCTCACAGATTGAGCGGTAGGCTCACCTTCCCCAACGAGCTTCCACGGTGGCGTCAACTTGGAAGTTCTCTCCCAAGGGGGACTTCCAGTGACGCTGGACGGTGGTGAGGTGATCGGTGTGGCTTCCGCCTGTTTCCGCTTGTGCTTCTTCCCATGTATATGGTCGATCAGGCTCGCGTCATGGTAAGCCCATACGCTGCATTCAACACCAGAAGTTCCAGCTCAGTTTAACGAAAAAGTCAAGGTGCTCCAACTAAAACGCGGTAAGAGCGGTAACGAGAGGGGAAAATGCGACAGAAAGGAAGAAGGCTCGTCGCGGCTTACTCGCACAGAGTGCAGTAGAAAATGATGCGTTTGTCGTCCTCTACCACCAGCACCCCTTCTCCCTTGTACAAGCTCTGCAGATGCGATGCAAGCGCTGACGCCAATTTCTTATTCTCAGCAGGCTTCTGAGTCGCCGTTTGCGGAAGAGCAGCCTTTGTTTTCTTCTTGCCATCCTGCTTCTCGGTTTGCTTTGCTCCTCCAGCCGGCTTTTTACTACCCTTCATCCTTCGGTCAGATAACGTGCCTCGCAAAATGCCTTTCACTCCTGAACGAGGTGTTGACTGCTTGGAGGCTTGGCCGTCCGCACCTCGTGCGGAGAACATGGCGACTGTTGATTTCTGAACCATGTGTAAACCTTCGTTAATGATTGGTCTGCAGAAAATAGACCAGACATCAAAGCTGACTAAACTATGTGTGATAAGAACCGTTGACGCTTTGCCACACGTATAACCTACTAGACTCTGAAAGGTCCACTATACAGAGGATATTCGACGGACAAAAACGAAAGATTCTTGTGTGAAGAGAGCTGGGAGATAAAAGGTTCCATCCATAAGCGAAGTTAATTCTGTGTTTGTGGCAGGCGCAGCAGCGTGGATGGGAGCCTTGCTGTCAGAGAACCACACTGAACCAAATGAAACCCTTGTTTTGCCTTGACCAACTGCTGTGAGTCGCATCAGAGGCGGTGTGCGTGACCCGTGACCAGGCCTGTCGAAGTTTCTGGGGCTCGTACTTGCGCTCCCCAGCTCCTCCGCATCTGACCCTTGGTTGGGTGTAGGTGTGCGGTTTGGCGCACTTAACGGTCACGGGCGCACCCCAAAGTGAAAACTTGAAATCAGGGCATGTTTGAAGTTTGCACTTACACTGTATTTTACTAAGGGAATGTTCGGGTGCTCCAAGGCTGACTGAGACACACTACAGACACGAGGTTGGCTAGAAAACGCTAAGGGAAAAATCCCCTTGGCGCGCTCTAGTGCAGGCAAAGGAGAAAGGGGGGGGGGTGGGGGGTGGCTCGCTCGGGCACCCTGGGGTGGGGGGGTCCTACGAGCGGAAACCAAAACTTAGATAAAGGGGAAGGACTGGTTTCGTCCCTTAACGCGTCCGGGGAAGGATCGAACGAAGCACTTAGTGGCACGGGTGGGGTACGAATCCAGAACTTGCCGCATCGGAGCTGGAGCGTAACTAGCCCTTAATGTTCAGGGCATTAAAGGCATATGCCCTTGAATCGACAGGCCTGCCCGTGACCCGTCCCCTCTCCTCCCCCGTCCGTTTCGTTCTTGCCTTAGCATTCAAGGATGCCTGCTTGGCCGCCTTCCAAGACCAACCAATCCGTCATGCTCGAAGGAATCGTAGCTGTGCGATGATGCCTTTGCGACAGTTACCAACACGGGAATCTATGTCAAGAGAGCTCGCGAAAACCTAACCCGAACCAGGTCAAGGAGCATTCGCCACGTAGGCGGAGGACCACAGCGGATGACGTGGGGCGCGAGGTGGCCCGCCCGGCAATTGGGTCTTTTTCACCCAGAGTGGATGGATGGATTTCGCGAATTCGAAATGGAACTCCTCCTGTGAGCACCCCCTGCCCTGAGACTGATAGGCTGGTTGGATCGCGAACTGTTCTCAGAGACACTGGTTTCGTCGTCCAATCGCTAAGGCCAGTTTCCCGCTAGGATTCTTACAACCACCAGATTCCTCCACACCCATTCGGCACTAAAAACTGCTTGCGCATAACAAACGTTTATCGGCTCCAGCAGTATCGAGTCAGGCAGCTCCTCGTCCTGGTGACGCTTCCTCCTGTCCCAACCACCAACTTCAATCAAATTTGCAGAAATCATGGGAAATTCATGGGGGGAATTCGCGGAACCCCATGAACGGAAATGGAGCCCGTCCCATTGATCGCGCTCCACAGTCCACCAAACCCGATTCTCCAACCACCTTCAATCTCCGTGATACCAACAGCCTTTCATGATAAAAAAATGCCTTCGCGCGGTCAATTTTGGACGATCTATTTGGCATTCTCGTGTATCTTCACGTCTGCATTCTCTCCATCCTTGCAAATGTGATCGCATCAGCACTACCACTTTCGCTTCAGCGTCGCGTCAAGGGGGTGATACAATGAAGGAGCACGCAAGAAAATGTGGATTCCGGGAACAAAGTCACGAGGCCTTGAAGCAAAAAGCGGGGGCGTGGCAGGATACTCCCGAGGAGGTGTTCACGAAATCGGGCTGGTCAGGCGTGCGTCGCGCGGCCGTGGCAGCGGTGCATCGCTCGTGTGACGCGACGGAGCACTGGGAACCGTGGCTCGGCGCGCTGCTGGAAGAAGATTCCAGGCGCAGGTGAGCAGCGGAGGCGAAGCTAGGGTTGGACTGATGGCTTTCGAAAAGCCCGAGGTTTCGTTTTCTTAACTTCTCCGTTTGGCTTTCCCCGTGCAACCCCTCTGCCCGGTCCACTCCAGCCGAATGCTCGATGAGCTCAATGCTGCCCTTACAAGGGCAGGTGCTGCAGGGGAGCCAGACGGGGAGGCAGCAGGTTGGGGACGGGAGGGAGTGGGAGACGAGGAGTCTGGCGTGGTGGGAATCGAGCAGGACGCGGGCAGGGACGAGAGGGAGGAGGCAAGTGCATCAGGGAGGGGAGGCGCGGTGGCAGGGTTTCCGGTGCTGCTGGGTGTGCCGGTGGCAGTGAAGGTGCGAAGCTCTCTGCGACTATTGACCGCCTATTCCAGCAGAACGTTCGCAGATCCCTAGGCACCATGCGCCATACCTACATTGCTGTTGCAGCAAGCGTCTGCGTCCATGTAGTGCCAGTGCTTGCGGAGACAGCATGTGAATTTATGGCCTGTTACATCCCCATGCGTGCGTGGCAGCAGGATCTGATCCACGTGGACGGCTTCTCCACCAGAGCAGGCGCGCTGCCAGGCTTCCCTGCTCTGGACTCCGTGTTGGGGATGAGGGAGGGCGAGGTGCGTGCAGGAGGCAGGTGAGGGAGGGGAGAAGAGTTTTCAAAAGGCAGAGGGTGCATCCGAGTGACAGTCGCCTGCCATTCAATGCACATGGGTGGGTGGATGCATGCGTGCAACGGTTCCCGTCACGTGTTGCTGTCACGTGAGGTTAAATTTCAGTGATCTGTGCAACACAGTCTGTGTGGAACTGTAGATGGCGTTGCTCACCGTGTCTTTGGCGCTTTCCATCCCGTCTGCTCTTGAATCACAGATAATCCAACGGCTGAGGTCAGCTGGTGCACTCATCCAGGTCAGTCCATTCACATCGCACCCAATCACTTGATTATCTGACGTTTTCACATCCTCTACCAATGTCTCCTCCTTGCATGGTACAGGTTCACTCACGTGTAGGATCTCACCAGTCTTGCAGTATGTATTGGCCTTTTCTGTGCTTTTCACGTACCTTACCTCTGACCCCTCTCCTCAGCATCCGTTCATTCCCAATATGATGTTGAACACATGTATGCATGCTCTGCTGCTCTCCTCTCACTTTCCTCTGCCGTCCTTGGTCCAGGGCAAGGCAGCCATGACAGAATTCGCCTACTGCCGCCCGACTCGCACGCGCAACCCTCTCGCTCCAGTTGAGTCACCGCCTGCCTAGTATTGCCATCACGACCACCACACTTTCTTCCAGCCCCATGCGTCCGGTGTGCCTACTCTTGTCCGCACTGTCTCCTGTCCGCTCTGCCTCATCTTCTGCCGCTCTGCCTCACCTTCTCCCGCTCTCATCACCTTCACCCGCGCATCATCTCCCCCATCTGCTCCCGCGCAGTCCTTCACGCCTGGGGGCTCCAGCAGCGGGTCAGCAGCAGCTGTTGCAGCAGGCATCTGTCCGCTGGCCCTCGGTTAGTCTCCCTCCTCCTGCTCCCTCCCCTTGCTCTCTCCTCCCTTCACCTCCTCTCTTCTGCTTCTCCTCTTCCACACCTACCTCTCATCCCCAATGCCACCTCTTGTCCCCGCTCTCTCTCCCCTCTGCTGCTGTCTCCCCTCCCTCGACACCCCCTTCTCCACTCTGCAGCATCACAGACGTGTGCATCCATCTCCCGCCCAGCAGCCTTCACAGCCACGGTGGGCTTTAAGCCATCGCACCACCGCCTCCCCGCCTCTGGCTGTGTTTCGGTCAGCACCCCAGCCCAACCCTCTCTTCCTCTCAGCCCCCGTTCCCCGTCACACGTGCCGAATGCACGGTTGTGGTAAGCTCCGTGTTTAAATAGGATGTGGCTGATATGTGGCTGATATGTGGCTGATACTAGCTTGCGTGCGTGCATGCACTCCTCCACCTCACTCGCATCACCTGCTGCTCGCTTTTTACAAGGCAAAGCACTGCATGACCCACTTGGAAGCGCATCGCTCTATGCCCCCCTGTGCAGCCATCCCCATCCTTGGAGTCATCTCAGCCTCAGTGCGCTGGGCGGCACTCTGTGTATCTTGACAACCTCATCCCCACCCCACCCCACCCCAACCCCATACACGCCCCCCCGCGCAGCCATCGCCCTCCCTGGACCAGTTTGGAGTCATCGCAGCTTCAGTGCGCTGGGCTGCTCTCTGGGGTCGAGCCGTGCTGCCCCACTGGCGGCCCCCAACCCCCTCTGGGGCAGTGCACGGTAAGCTGCACTCGCCTTCTCCCCATCTCCCCTGCCCTCGCCTGTGACCCATGTGCCTGTGCCTTTTCGCTTAGAGGCACCTCTGGTGCAGTGGCTCCCGCAATCACCATCACC